CCAAATACTGGATATTTGCAAAACTTGAAACCTTAAAAAATGTCTTCAAATCAATCACTCATGTTGTGCTGATAGCACAAGTTCATTCATCAATAAGTCGTTTGATCGAAAAATAAACAGCAACAATTTTGATCATCAATTCATCATTTAATTCAGCCTCTCAGATGTAGGAATTTGCAGTTTTTGACTGTTTTATTGTAAATTAAATATCTTTGGGTTCTGGACTGTTGGTCTGACAAAACAAGCTATTTGAATACGTCACCTTGAGCTGTGGGAAAATATTAGTAGCATTTTACGCAGTTTTCTGACATTTTGATGTTCTAAAACACACGTGTTAAACTCAAGGCCCGTGGGCCGAATCCGGCCCGCCACGTCATTTTATGTGGCAAAAAAAAAAGGTTTTTTGTTTTTTTTAATTTTGGAAAAAAAAATTTAAGTTGGACTTCAAAATAAAAATATCCCCATGGTCGAAATTATAAGATAGAAAGTTGAAATTATGAGATAGCATGTTGTCTGTGTACCGACATTAAAACTATCACAACAGGTTGACAGGAGAGGGAACAGCCCGTAAAGAGGTTTTCCAACAAGTGATCCGAGTTGAAAAAGATCGACAAATAATCCCAAAATGTCCACGAAGAGAAAAATTGATGCAGAGGGAAGAAGATGTAATTTAAGATGGGAAAGCGAATACATGTTTGTGCTTCAGGGAGAAAAACGGGTCTGTCTTCTGTGTTATGATGCGTGTCGGTGATGAAAGATACAATTCACGTCAGCATTTTGACACCAAACACGGAGCTAAATTTAGCCTCCAAGAAAAACATAAAATTGTCCAAGAATTAAAAGGCAGACTGCAATCACTGCAGAATGTATTTACAAAAGCTACAGCCCAGTGCATGCTAAAGGTATGTGAGCAGGTGAGCTCCGACCAGATACAGACTTTTACAAATGTCAGTTTGTGAAGAAACACCATCGCAGACCGAGTTCAGGAACTAGCAGCAATCTAACAACACAGCTAGCTAAGAGACGAGATACATCATCTATCAATGTTTGTAAGAGGCTCAAGGCAGACCTGACTGTCAGTGAGGAGCTCTTGGATGTAGCTGCCATGCACGGGACGACGGCAGGGACATTAGTGATGCAGAGAGGTGACAAAAATAGCTTTGAACAAAGTTAATGTAATAACTTGTGTTTGATGATATTTGTCTTTGTTATTTTCTTTAAAAGTTTGATCTTCGATAGAGTAATGTGGGTTTCTTAACCCTAAATTAAAATGATTTATGTTATAATAACAGAAATGTGCTTAAATATCATTTTACATTTATATAACTGCATGTACAATATTTTTACACTTGAATACACAATAATCAAAAGCAGAGACAGTTATTTAACAATATGTTAGGAGTAGTTATAGTTATACAGTCTTACAGTTACAACCGGCCCTTTGAGGGAAACCATGATGCTGATGTGGCCCGGAGTGAAAATGAGTTTGACACCCCTGTTCTAAAACAATAAGTTAACCAAAAAGAATAATTGACACATTAAGCGATAGAAATCAAGTAATTGTCCCCAGAAAAAAACTACGACAGAGAAATACTGGTCCAAACCAGCACAAGTAAGTACTCTTTAACTTGTGTCCCTGCATAGTTTTGACCAGCACTAAGTGTAGATTTAAGAAGCGGGATGAGGTTCATATCCGTTAGCTCAGAGCAGAGGCAGTGCCACCAAGAAAACTATTAAACGTCATACTTCGTGCTGAGAACTATTGTCTGGCTAAGTCTTGGAGTGATGTATTCCAGAGCTCCAGATTAGGACTGTAATAAATGTCCACTCTGGTTGATAACAATGGGCCCAAAGTGTGTCAAAGGAGATTGAGAGTCAATGCCTCGTAAAACATGGCGAGAGAAAAGGAAGAGCATGAGAGCTGAAGCATTATGTGGTCTAATTGTCCTAACGGACATGAGAGAAAACCCTTGCCCTTTAGACAGGGAGCACACCCTGCCCTCATTTAGCCGTCACAATTATCGCTGAATTAGCAGCAGGAAGGAAAACTGCTTCAACCGTGTGCCGAGGAGGGAATCCTTCTGTTATTTCAACATTTATGCAAAATGGAAATAAACACAACATTTCCATTGTCAATTTCAGTTGGAATATGAATGTGAAAACAACGGAGGCAAACAAATTCTGTATTTTTTCATGTCGCGAGCAGGAAAACGACCCTGAGGAGAGCTTTCAAGGCAGCGGAAGAAACATCATTGTAATTATGCCTTTTAGCGAATATTCTAAACATTCATCCCTTTTGTTTTGTGTATGGAAATGTTCTTATGAATCTTCTAGTATGCTTCTGGATGAAGCTGTCACTTCCACTGCTCCTCTTTGTCTTTTTTATGGATGCACACAGAATCAAATTCATTACTATCAGAGTGTAATTATGGAAATTTCTGGAGATTTGTTGGGAGTTCTGTAACAGCAGTCTGCCATTTCTACAAAAAGATCCAGAAGCCTCTGAAGGGGGATGGAAAGATTTTCATATTAATACCCGAGCGTGTTCATGCATATGAACAATTTTCATTGTTTTAACTGCTTACTGCTGAATAATGTCCTGTATGTTTAGAGATATCTATCATTACTCTATAGTTAGTACATTAATCAGAGCTGACTGTGTGAGTTTAGCTTAATATCCACAATATGTCTTGTGCCGTCCCTCTGCAGTTCCCTCCACATCTTGCTCGTTGGTGCCCCCTGCGTGTCAGTGTGCACATACCGTATGTCAACGAGACCATTTCCTTGACATTTATTCTACAAGCGGTGATTCTGACACTTATTATTCAGTCATCATATTATTTGTTCTTTGTAAGCACACGGCCTCTTCTTTGCAATGTCCCTGAAAATGTCAGTGTTTACATTTACAACTGATTTAAAAACAATATGATTTCAGCTCTTGCTAAAAAAAGGAGCAAAGAGCACACAGTACGACCTTCGGCTCAGCCTTTAACCTCCGTCATGCATGAGAGAGGTGTGTTTATAGAGAAGGATATAGATGATACTCAGCCTAAGTCTACCGCATACTGCTGCTGGTTTGAGTTGGTTTAAAGGAATAGTTTGATATTTTGGGAAATACACTGATTTGCTTTCTTGCTGAGTTTGACGAGGAGATTGATGCCACTGATGACAGTGGTAGTTTTCTTTTAGAGCACTTATTATTTCGACATGTATTCTGATTGATTGATTGCTGATGTTATCAATTCAGCAAAACATTTCTATTGAATGTTCTGAGGCAATTATTGAATTATTAATTGCCACATAAATTCAGATTCTTCTCCCAGATCGCTTTAACTGCAGTTCTTCCGGTTTTATTGAGACTTTCTGAAGCGATAACTATTTGACCATGAAGTCAGATTCTTCTCCCAGATCACCACGAGCATGCATCAGCTCACAGCATGTGAGCGGTGCTGCACTGTAAGAACATCTAACTCGCAGCACGATGCGCAACACAATGAGCAGATCGACAGACCAGCATTCCCTCACAATGCCAACAACATCACCGCAGTCTCATAATAACAGTCCGTCTCCACATCTCTCCCCTCTACTCCCCTGGCAGCCTTCAGGCCTGGCCCATAAAGCATCTCTCACATAAATCAAGCAAAACCCTGAGAGCTCAGTGGGACCCAAGAGCATGCTGATCACCCCGACACTCATTCTCCCCGCCGCCGGTCTCCTGGGCTGCCTCAGCCCTCAGGAACCCGCACCCCCGGAGCACGGACCCTGCCAGTGAGCCACAGCACGGCTGAGAGGGTCCGCTTGGTGGGGGAAGAGAATGTCACAGAGGCATGTCACTTTGATTCAGTGCCTGCAGACCAATGTGTGAGATGCAAGCGGATGCAAGCTGTGAAATAAACAAATCAATATTTCTCAGGCACACATTCCAGTATCCCAGAGCACTGCCTTACATGTACGGGACAAAAAGCTGTAGTATCATTCAATACACGGCCCCGTTGCTATTTTGTGCTACAATACAGTATGAAGCTGTTTTTGCAACCGTGCCCACTCCGTTGTAAGCCTGTGTTTTGTAGTGCAGTTTTGTACACAGATGGTACAGCTGGCAAGGCTGTATAACAAGCGCAATGCACATGAAACATCCCTATTACTCTCATAGATGCTTACTACCAAAGCTTTGTCAGCACGACTGCACCCACAAGGAATCAAATCTCCAGTAAAAGAATGCCATGTACTGATTATTACATGGGACTGAGCCTGGCCTTTGACCTTTGTTGATGTAATGTTCTCTCTCTCTCTTTGCTACGCTGCTCCTATTCTTCCGTGCTGATTTCTTTCAATTGAAGCAGACACGACACAGAAACAATAACAAGAAAAAGAGCAAAAATTCAGAGTTCCACAAAACAAAAGCGGCAGGGATTACAGATGCAAGGAGGTGTTACTTAAGGACTTCCTGTTTCCACAGTTCTGTGACAAATCCCAAAGTTGAATCCCTATTGCATGCGACGCACACAGAGCTGCTACCAAAGCGCTCTGATGAGAGTAAAATCTCTCGACAGGAAAACAAGGGGATGTAGAGTGCACGCTCAGATGAGAGGGTACGCTGTCTAACCATGTGAAGAAAAGAAGCGTTTAAAATTCACAGTGATGAGTGCAAATAGCACATGAATAGGTTACCAAAGTATGTTCTAAATTAATTGATGTCAAGAGGCAAAGAAGACGAGATCTTTGTATCAAAAGCAAAACCCTGAATAAGGAGCAAGTCTGGCAGATTGCTGAATAGCTTTGAAGCTAGCGTTCATATCTCATATACTGTAGCTATCATTTCTTGACAGGTTTATCAACATCAAAGTGCAATAAAAAAATTAAATACAATCAATGGGATGCAAAAATAATCATGCAAAGAAAATAACGTATTACTTATGCAATAACCTTGGTTGATTAAAATTCGACAATAATAAATCAGCAACAACCGTGAGAAAAAAAGAAAAGAGTAGCTGTCTTACCAAGTCTCGTCGTTTTTGAATTCAAGCTCTCCGTAGGTGTCTTCAAAGTCCTCTCCTCCTCCTTTGGCGAGTCCTTCCAAGCTGCGATAAGGCACAATGACCGTCCCCCTTGCTCCAGAAGTCCTCAGCACCTTCACCTCCATAATACCCATGCTCTCACTGACGTGCACCGAGTTGCTCTCAAAGGTGAAGATGCCCGAATGATCGTCGTCCAGAATGGTCACGGTGGCCACAGTGGGGAAGCCCAGCATCGCATTTGGGTACGGGAGACTGTTGGGGGACAGCACCTCGTCCTCCGTCTCCAGGACACGCAGATTACTGAGGCGCACGAAAAAGTGCTCGTCCTCTTCAAAGATGTCGTCGTCTATGATGCCAATGTTTATCTCCCTGATCATCTCTCCTGGTTTGAACACGACTGTACCCTCTGAGAACTCGTAGTCTGCCCCAGCGTTAGCCGAGCCGTCCTCCGTCTTATAATCCACGTAGATCGTCTTGTTGATGTCGCCACCCTTTCTGATGATGCTCAGAATGGCGGCGCCACAGTTCTCGAGGCACTGGTAGACGGCAGGCTCAAATGCAATTCGAGACACGTACTCATCTGGCTCCTCCACGTGCACCTCCTGCACGCTGACGCTCCTCTTCGCCTGCTCTGCGACGTGTTTCTTCAGGATGTTTCCAGCGCCTGTCATCATGCGTGTAGCTTGGATGCGGTAGAAGGCACGGCTCTTTTGCTGGTGCGAGAGAGCGTAGTAGTTGGCCATCTCGACCAGCTGATCCAACTCTTTCTCAGGGTGCTTCTGCTTCAGGTCTTTCAAGATGCGGATCATGTCGCGCCGGGACTCGTCCACCTCTTTGCTCTCGATCAGACCAATAAGATTGCTTGCCGCTCCTCCGTCCATGAAGTGAGAGTTGACCATCTTGCCGTCCATCTCAATCCCCTTGGAGCGCTCTCCCTCCGTCTCGATGATGACACCTCTGTGTTTGTCGGTGCGATACTTCTTGTGCATGAACTTGTAGAAGAGCAGCCGTCTGTCTGCTATCCACGCAAGAAATACACATATGGGGAAGAAGGCCAGTGTGACTAGACCCTCCCAGACCTGGACTACATTGGGAGAAAACACAGCCAGAATCATGTAGAGCCAGATGTAAGCAAAGACGCTCCAGCCCGCAGTGACAAAGAACACTCTGAGGTGTTTGATCTTGCGTACCTCTCCTTGGGGAATGACAGACACACAGAGGCCAATGATGACAAACATATTGAAGGCTGCGCTGCCGACAATTGTGGCGGGCCCGAGGACACCAGGTTTGAATCCATGTCCACAAACCTCAATCAAAGAGAGCAGAATCTCAGGGGCGGACGACCCCAAGGCCATGAGGGTGAGGTTCGAGACCGTTTCATTCCACACCCGAATCGTGGTGGTGATTGTTTCCCCATTGGGCCTTTTGATGACAAGTTCCCTCTCTTGGGAGGTGATGACCTCAATGGCCGCCATGAAGCGGTCGGCAATGATGGACACTCCGAGAAACATGTAGATCATGGCAACAAAATACACAATGACCCGTGCGATCTTGTCTCCCATGGAGGGATCCTCGGGATACCAGATGGGCAGGATGATCCCCGGTTTACACTTGGAGTTTCCCGCGCAGGTGCCATTGCTGGGGGTTAGCAGAGGGCTCGGAGTGGTCCGGGCCTCTGTACAAAGGAAGGCTACAGCCACAGAGACCAGCCCCAACCAGAGGCAGACTGACGACCCCGGCTTTACAGGCCTTGAACCCTCCATGCACCCTCCTTCGTCTCAAGGGTCCTTACCACACTGACAGTCCCCCTGGGATCCAGCACTGGGCTGTGCTTTTTCTCCACCCACCACCTGAACACAACAGAGAAACAACAGAGATGGTATTGATGTTATACTGTTTATATTTACTTTTTAAAAGACAAAAGACACAAAGAGTTTACTCTCAGATGATAGACAGGTTTCAGACAGGGAGAACGATGGTAACACAATTGCTTCATGTTCGTTTGCATCTTTTTACTAGATAGATTAAAGCGTCTTGATAATACTTGTCAATTATGTATTAATCATAATAACTCAGTAATTACTGTATCACATAATGGATGAGTTATCAAACCTACTTTCACATTGTTTTAAATCCCAAGTTTGAGGAGCAGTATTAGTACAAGTGTGTGTTTGCATTTCACATGGAAAAACACACTGATTTTGAAGCAAGAATTCAAATGATCCCACTATGCCTCTGTAAAACTTCAATGACTTTCTCCCTCTTTCTTTACAAACAGCAGTCATGAGACCCTTATGTTATTTATGAGAGGCAGGCTGGAAAATACTTCTCCATGCTTAGGAATTCATGAGATTTTCAGATCTGTAAACCACTATGTGCACAATGTAGATACCATTAGTTTAATGAAATCATAGCCTGTGGGCTCATTTCTAATCATAAAGTCAGTTTTTGATGTGGATATGTGCGCCCGATAATGTGGATTTGAGCGTGATTGTCTGAGATCTCGGGGGTAATACACAGCTCTGAACCAAACAGCTCGCTCAGCAGGCGTGCAATGTTGCCAAACTAAGCACTGTCCGAAATGTCGCATTGGCAAAAAAACAGCAGAGGGGAGGCAGGAGACCGTCAAGAGGCAAACCGAAACAAAGGGTACAGATGTCCCGTCCAAATTCATTGTATACTGAGCTCCGAATGCACACTTACCACTTCCGCAAGAGAGAGCAGCGTTACAATAACAATGCAGACTTTGTCCGAATTCATAAAAGCTCGGCCTAAGCATCTTATGCACCTCTTCAGCTCTTATGAGATAGGACATGAAAATTATTTTGATGCTGAGGCCACAGGCAATGGGAGCAGGAAGAAAAGTGAACCAGCCAAAACTTAGAAGATGTGAGCTACTTTGAAGACATAACACATGGGATTTATTATAAAAGCTTATTGTCAGTGATTATTCTGTTGTTGAGAAGGATGGGTGGGGCCCTTCTGCAGCCTTCACCACACCTTTAGGGCCCCTGAGAAAGCCTGTGACAGTCTCGTCTGAATCACAATTAGCTCTTCAGTCACACTTGTTTCCCTTTGCTTTTGTTGAGCTAAATGGAGTTTGAATGTTTCTACATTTTCTACCTTAAAGTGCATTTTTGTGTTCTGATTCCTGGTTAGAGGGCAGATTACCTCTGGGGCTGCCCACACTAAAATGTGTACAGTTTGAACTCATGGCACTTAAAGGCACTTTGGATAAAAGCATCCATTAAATGGCATATGTTATGCTATGAAATGCAGATTTATTATTTGATTTAAGTCTTGTGCAGTACACTGGATCTGAACACTTTTAAAATAACTCCAACTTGAACTCCGAGGTGATACTTTTGGAAGTCATATCCATCTTCCAGACGGACCACTGGCCAGTTTGGATAGCTGACAAATTTTTCAATGGAAGTGCGGATACTCAAACAGGAGCTGGCATATTTGAAGCACTCACACCAATTTAAAAGCCAAATATTCTCTCTGGAACCTGAGCAGTGACAACACACATAATGTCTGCAAAAAAAACTGTCAGTTTCTATCAACATCTTGAGTTCAAACTCCGGCTTTAGCAAAACCTATTAATATAGTTTGGAATAAATTATTCCTAATATTTGAAATGTAATGGTTCATAGATAGAAATAATTGCATCACTATCAGTATTATTATAATGTCTTTTAATAAGGGATCATAACCTCAATAACATTCAGAAAGATATGGCTTTCCAGAAGTGCTTTTTTCGGGGTTATAAAACTTAAAAATGCAGGATATCTCAGCTTGAAATGAAATTTCTCAGATGTTAAAAAAAAGATGTTGATTGCAGAGCAGCACGCTGATCTGGAGGAGGGAAAGAGGGTTGACAGCAAACGGCAGCAGAAGCGGGAGACAAGGAACTTTAAATTTAACTGAATCAGCAGAGCCATTTCTATGGACAGGAGCCAGCAATGCAATCCCTGCGAGAACCGACAGCGCTGAGCACAAACAAAAACAACGGGGAAATAATTGAGTGACAAAGTTATAACTTAATGAGAGAAAAGTTGAATCTGAAAACTATGGATTTTGCAGTTGTTTGGACTTTTGTATCAGTCTTAAAGTTGAACACAGAAACTCACCTACAAGAGAGAACTTTTAGGAGGAGAGAAAATGTGTGCAATGCTTAGATTACAGTCATTAACCTCTTTCAACTGTGCTGAAAATGACCTGCATTGGAAAAGTGAAAGCAGGGATACGTTTTTAAAAGGAGGCTGAAGGAAGGGCCTCTTCCTGTTTTAGAATCAGAGCAGCACTGCTGACCTGCTAGCTTCGCCCTCTCTTTTTTATTGCATGGTGGCTCGTCGGGGTGGATGGGCAGAAACTGCAATGAGGCAGAAACAGACGGAGCATCCAGAATTTAAAGGCTAGAGAGACTCTCAGTATGTTACAACGCAGGGACGGGAATGATTGAATGACTGTCCATTTAATTGTAAGGTGATATACAGGAGGAAGAGCATCCTGAATCCAAAGCGTCGAGTCAAAATCAACTCACATATTTTACACTTACAACGATTATATCATCATTTGTAACCTGGATCAATCTCACTGTTTTAAACTAATCATTTAAAAAAGCAACATGATTCAAGATTACTCCATTGTTGATATGACAATCTTACTGTAATGGCAAACAAGCATCTATATTTACACATCCAGCACAAAGCAACATAAGCATTTATTTAAGTCGTGTTTCTGTCAACATGATTGACTGTAAATCCATTATTAACTCTGTTTTGGTCTCCAACTCCTGAGGGAAATATCCGCCTCTTTAGCTGCTAAATGCTACATTATGTTCACCAGCTAGCCAGCTAACTAGCTGGCTAACTTTGACCGTCTAGGGTTGGTGCTGGGAATGTAGTGTTGTGTAGTTTTTTTGGCTTAAAAACAGGTGTCTGCTACAGTGCAAAACAACGCTATGAGAGCCGGGAGAGTGAACCAAAACAGCAAAGATGCAGACCAGAAATCTAAGACATTAATTGACTGTGGTTTCATCACGACAAAACAACACTCTTTCCCAAACAGGTATAGTGATGTGATCCATTGTTAATACAAAAATACCGATTGCAGCAGCTTTAAATGAGCTGAAATGTGTCGTCCTTTCAATGCTTCACTGTAGCTTTAATGCAGACAGCTGGAGACTCTGGTGTCTCTACTGCATGTGTGAATGTGTGTTATAAGAGTATGGAAGGAGGAAAGTGATAAAACAGAGTGAATGTGCTCAGTCAGCCCACCCTGGATAAACAGAGGCGCAACAAAATGGCCAAAAAGCCAAATACCCATAAATCCAAGAGCAAACTACCAGAGTGACACAGAGAATTAGATATAAAAGTCATACAGTGACAGTGGACAGCTTCTGCTAACTACCTCCTGACTTTTACTATCAGACATATGCACTTCACCAGCTGAATAACCTCAGAAAGTTTATTGTAAACCATATTTTGCCCATCTCCCAAAACACACGTAAAATATTTGCGCTATTCTAAGTAGTACTTTATTTTTTGTTTGTTTCTGTGCATTTCTAAATTACAGAAACTGAATTTTAACCTTTGTAAGGCCCTTAATATTGCTACTAGTACTACTTGTTCCTCTACTGCTACTGTTATTAATATTATTACCAAAAGCATTACTATACAGGGAGCACTAACACTACGAAACTGCTTCCAACTACCACCTCCACCAGTATACCACTGCTACTACTACGACTGCTATTACATTCATGCTGAAGTTGAAATAGTAAGGTTTTAGCGCAGATGTATGTGTTTGGGAAGTACTGACCGACTGGATAAATGAGACTTGGATTATATGCCGTGAGTTGTATGAGGGTTTTTCATTCCACGTTTGACATGGAGGCATGCGAGAAAAACATAGTTTTCTTCAAGAATTCAAGGTAACACGGAATGAATAATTGATATAAATATGGTCTTTTTGGGGGAGAAGTATTCCTTTAGTAAGTGTCCTCTCCCAGGTAATGCTACTACATGTAGCTTTTGCCAGGTAGCTTAAGCTAGCTGGAAGAGGTGGAGTTTGGTGACCTTTGAACCTACTGGGTGGATTTTCTTTTAAGAACGAGGTTATGTTGGACGGATTGCAGTAACACCAGAGATGTCCAGATGTGATGTGGCCAATCGATCACATTCTGACCACAATGTGTCCTGCCTGCATTTAGACATTAAATTACCGTTTGTTTTTTCCTTCTGCAGACACACAGATCGCATGTCAATGTCAGTTGTAAATGGGGTCTTATTCCCTCGAAGCTCTGAAAATGCTGGAAACAATTCCCATAATGCAACTCCATCATGTGGTGTATTGGTCTATCCCTGACTGGTAAATGTCCACTACACATCTCCAGAAGCACAAAAGACATCTACTGTTGTCACAGGATGTACAGTCTCTTTGACGAGTAAACTGAACTTCATAAGTGTCCCTTTAACAAAATCTTAATATTGCAAAACAAATGCTGGCAATATGGATGCATTGATTTGATTGGTTAGTTTGAGAACCCATTTAAGACACACAGCTGCATAGCTACATAGGCAATAATGTAGAACTCATTAAAATGATTACATTCAATCTCTCCGACGGTTCAGGTGTATGACCTCACAAGGATTTTGCATTTTAAATATTGATTTTCTATCAGCACAAAGTGTATTGTCTGCTGCAGTGAACGATTCCATTTCTCTTTGTGTACCAACATTACAGCTGTGACCCCAAAATTAGGAGCTACACAAAACAATTTGCATACTAATTACCATTTTAAGGATTGTATTTCACATTGTGAATGTAGAGGAGGACTGACGCTGGAGTTTAATCAAGACTGTTCAGCTGCCGCCAAAAAGTATTAAAAGAATCCACCGAAAAGACAAAGAGTTGTTCACAATAACTGCACATGAACTTAAGAGAAAGAAAGTAGACTTAATATCTTAATATTTATAATGTAGAACAATAACATATTGTATGTGCTGACTATATAATACTATTAATTTAGCATTGTGATTTTTTTTCTTTTTTGTGTGTGTGCATTTTTCGTGATTTTCTGAAATGTCATGGATCAAACGATTAACTAATTGATGAAATAATACTTGACCTCAAAAATAGTGGATTTAAATGAGTAGATTCAATATTAACATTTGATTTCGTGCATCTTTAAGTGATTACCCTGTTTAATCCCCTGACTGATGCAGACATGCATTATGGGTGAGACAGTTGCTGAGAGGAGAGAGCGGCTGCTCTGCTCTCAGGTCGCTTTCCCTATTTTGGGAAGAGGGTCTTGTTTAAGGAGGCTATTTGAGACGTGTGTAAACATGGACTCAGCAGACACACGGAGAGCCCCAGCTGTTGCTGATTAATCATCAGAAGGCAGGCTCCGGCACTACACCTATGTCGGTACCTGAGGGGGGAATCCCCTGCTGGAGCACCCAGAGGCCCTAACTTATAGGGTGCGTACAGGCCTATACGTGGCACGATGCATAGATGATATAAAAGGCTATATGTCCCTTCTCTCTGAAACCAATACCCATTGCTGACCTCAGGAAACACCATCAACTCATAACAGAGGTGGGCCGTGTAGAAGAAGCCAACAATACAACACAAGCTAAAGAGTCATACATTTAAAAAAAACCTGGATATCCAGGTGTTCAGCCAAACAGCAGCAGGACTGTAACAACCGCTATCCGATACTTGCTTTGACAGACGCCAATTAATCTACTGGCACACCCATTAGACGGTATCACGAATCCATTGCAGCCCCGTTGCAATGGATCATCTCTGCACGGTGATGAGGAGCATATAGGCGGGTTAAAAACCCGGGCAAGATGAAGCAGCTCCGGAGTGCCGGACCACATCACACCACATCACTTATCGAGTGAATTTGCAGCTTTGCATCTAACGTGGTTACTACAAGCTGTCATGTATTAAACTAGAGGTGCCCGCCTGTGCCTTGCTGTTTATCAACGATGGTTTACCGGGTTGCATCACTCAGTAACACACTGGTTATTGAAACATCACTGAGTTTGCATCATGCGTTATCCATTGTAACCTACCTGGATTTGTATTCCGGGGAGTTTTATGTAGAAACTGCGAAATAGCTCCTGTCCACCCCCTTTATGGCTGTTTCGCCGTTCAGATCGCCCTCTCTCAACAGTCTCAGCTTAACATCGCTGTTTGGATCTCTTGAGTCAAACGTGCTCCACGGACCAAAAAAAAAAAAAACCCCGGTGGAGCCACTGTGTCGTCCTCATGCACGGAGAGGCAGGTCCCCAGCCTCGCTCGGTTTTGGGGATTGGATCAAACCGGCCAGAGGTGATCGCCTTTCGTCCTCTCCTGCCTTGGCGCCCTCCTCCCCAGATCCTCCCTGTCTGACGGATTGACCGGGTCGCAGAGCTGTCAATGACGAGGGAGGAGGAGGCGGAGGGGGGGGGGGAGGGAGGGATGAGGGGTGGGGGGGGGGGGGTCGGTATTTTAAGATCAGAGATGGATCTTCAGAGCCCGTCCGCACGGCTCTCCCTCCTCCTGCAAGCCGTGAATCAGCGCTCTCCTCTCCCCCTCTCTCTCGCTCCGCTGCGATAGCGCAGGAAATCTGTGATGATGTCGCTCTTGTAGATCGGCACCGCCGTGAAGCTCCTTATTCCCGGCTGTCTTCTCTACAGAAACGGACCACTGCGATTAGTATTAACCACCGTCTTACATTAGAAACGCACTCGGGCTGTGCGTTTAAGTTACCCAGGCTGTCATATGGACTTTGCGCACCATCGGAATGAGCACGGCGCGTCTCTCCTCTGCGCCGAGTTCGTTTCTGGAGCTGGTTGCTGGAGACGAGCTTTATCCACACATTGTCATCCTCGCAGATAATTATTCATATTTGTAGGGGCTAATTCTCACGCGGTGGAGGTGTGAAATGGTTGCGCCCCCCACCATCCCTCCGCCCCCCATCTTTAAAAGTCACACCGACAGGCGCGCAACTACGTCACCACAGGCTGAGAGAAGAAACCTGCACCACAAAGCATGAATATCACCCAGGTCCACAGCCCACCATGTCGAGGGTTCACAACAGGAGGGAGAAGTAAGGAGGAGGGGGAAAGCTTATTGTTAAAGTATCAGCCACTTATTTACCTCTACAAACTGAGTGAGTGAGGCTGCCCTTTTGGTCACGTGCTGCTAATATATGACACAAAATCTAGCGACAGCAGGAAGAGAATCACTGAGTCGCTGACCTTTATTCTGTCCACCAGCCACAAATACCAAACACACAATAGATGAGAAAAATGGCTTTATAATTGCAGTAGAAAAAAACACGTTTGCAGCTTGAAGAAGCATGATATTATATTACATTTGTATTAAATGTATATGTGTATGCACAGACACACAGAACCAGTAACCATCTGCAAAGTCAAGCTCAGGAATTTATGAGTGCTGCATTCAAGAAGTTATGACATATTTTACAACACTAATATAATATCAACGTAAAACTGACACTAGTGTCAATTCACCAAGTTAGCTCTCTTTCAAGTGTTAGAAATGTGACACATGAAGCTATAAGCTGTGGTGCAAAACGTGTTCATGCTACAAAGTTGACAAGTAGAAGGCTGAGTGTTGCAATTCATGTCAAAAAAGGTGCAGTGTGTAGGATTTGGTGGCATCTAGCGGTGAGATTGCACATTGCAACCAACTGAAACTTCTCCCGAGTCCCAAGCATGTAGGATGAGCTAGAAGAAACATGGCGGCATGCTCCATGAAGGGGACCCACATCATATGTAGATCTAAACATCTCATTAAGGTAATGGGAATACAAGGGTTCTTATTTTGTGATTGTACACTTAAAAAAAGATACTACTATAATATTCAATTTCTATCAATTGTTCCCCCTTAATGCTACACACTCTAAACTTAAAAGAACATTTTTGAGAAATGCACTCATTTGTTTTCTCAGAGTTATGAGAAGATGCCACTCTCTAGTTTGTCCATTAAATAACTAGAGCCAGTCGCCGGTTAGCTTAGCTTAGCACAAAGACTTAAAACATGGGGTAACAGCTAGCATGGCTCTGACCAAAAGGTTAAAAAAACAAAACACACCCTTTAGCACCTCTAAATTTACTTAGTGACATGTTATATCTTGTTTCTTTAATGTGTAAAATTGCCCTGTCTCCAGTTTCCAGTCTTTGTGCTAAGCTAAGCTAACTGTAAGCAAATTAGTATTTCCCAAAATGTCAAACTATTCCTTTAAACCCCAGAGTCAGAGTCACTGAACACACTTCCCCTCCCGTCTTTCTTTGGGTGCGTTCCCAAACCCATACTACCATACTATTTAGTATGCCAGAAAAATAATTTCTATGTATTAGTAAGTATTTACTGTCCCAATACGTAGTATGTCAAATGCAGTATGCCAAAACCACCAGGATGTTAGGATAAAGAATACTGCATCCGGTCGCACTTTGCATTATGAAAGCCAGCATGCTTTTCTAGCTGTTCTGACCCACAATCCTCAGTGCAGCAGAAGATATATCTCGTTGACTGAGCAGTGAGAACACAGACAGCCTGATGACAGATACCACCTATGCAACAGTACGTACTTGTAAGGGGCAGCTGCAGTACGTCCTAAAAGTAAAAAGAAATAAAAAATAGCGTGAGATTTGGTACACAGCTATCATCTCTCTTGCAGTTGCATTGCACAACCCAATGATCTTCCTTCCCCAGTTAGCATTACTAGCCAGTAGATAATAAGCTTCACTGGGCTCACAGTCCTTGATGCAGCACCATCACCCATAACCGCTGCTGACGAGACACACAAAGCCTCGGAGACAGGAGCAAAGCAGGATGTTGACACTGCTACCACCTCCGATTACAGGATCATACAAGCCTGAAGCTTTGTGGAAGTAAGTCCTAAAAGTCTCTGGGCAAACCAAATTGTAAGTCAAATATGTAAAGTATTTCAAAGTATTTAAAACTGATTAGCGATTAATCAATAATGAATCATCATGAATCCACGCAGAAACAACATGGATAGATCGGAGCAGACATCTTATTGCAGTATGCAGAGTCCCTTTCCTTTAAGGATGGAGCCTATATGCAAAGCAGGAGAAAAAAAAAATCAATTGGATCCCATTTTAATTACATAGTCCGGCACTGTGGTACAGAATCGTATTAGCGTGTTCAGATTTCCATGCTTGTTAAATTCAAATATGAAATTAAAAAACAAAATGCTTCCCAAAATGGACGGGAGGGAGGAGACGGACCAATCTGGTCAGGCGGCCCCCACCACTCCGGTCCGCCATCCTCCACTCCCTCTCGATGTGATGCCGTAATTAGTATGGAGAATATGGTTGGATGTTTTAATGAAGTTTTCTTATCTGCAGCAGAAAGGGTGGAGGTGGTGAAACACACAGGACAGACTGGTGCACGCCAGCTCTTTCAGTGTACCTGCAGCCAGCATGCATCACGATTGGAATTCAATGCCTGCTCTGGCCTCTCTCATCAAAGTCCTCCAAGCATTCAGTGATGATTAATGGATTATACTCGTAATCAACACACCAGGCCTGCTTGTGCTTCCCACTGAGAGCAGCGGCACTTACAAGGGCGGGCGGCTTGATGGCCGTAGCCCTGGAACAGACTGGTTGCATTGATCCTCTGGGAGCAGAGCAACGTCACCTCTCCTTCCTGTATTTCCCTCCTTTCCTGTTCTCGCCACAGCTCACATGACGGCGGCCGCGTCTCTCTAGATCCGTTTCATCAAAACGTCTGGCATGCGGCAGTAGTGAATCTGGAGCAGGGAACGATACAGCACAGCGCAAGAGAATAGTGCTGCTCTTGCACTTTGTGATTTGTATTTTGTCTCTCAACGCTGCGCTCCGCACTCTGCACATGCTGATAATTTGTAGGCTGGAGTTGCAACAACTTCAGTGGAGTGAAGGCAAGGCGGTGACACAGTGGGCCCGGCTGGTGAGAGAAAGAGGGGAGGGGGGGGGAGTCATCGGGGGACTTAACACTGACACCAACCCTGGGCGACGTCCACTTATGACGGTCAGTAATGAACAGTGAAGCTGTGAAATGAGAAAGGTAAAGCGTCACCTCGCATCAGGATCTAAAGACCTCAGAGCTGGAGGGCCACTTCCTATCACCGCTGAATGTGTGTGTTTAGACGGTGGTGTGTTGGTGGGGGTCAGACACAGAGCAACGCACCAACCGCCCCTTGAGGACTCGCTTTAAACGACGCATGGAGTGTGTAGGGACACAGCAAGTTAAATGAAAATGCTGCGTTCTTTAAAAAGGGTCAGTTCACCCAAACTACAAAAAAAGAAAAACTCAATTACCTCCGGTGCTATCTGGTCATGTATATGGGTTTTGGTTTTATTTGCCCAGGTTTGGAGACATTGTGATGCAGGTGAATGGTATTTCATTTGTGAAGCTCACAATTCTCAAAAGCAAAATGTCTTTTCAAAAGGTGCCCCCCGTTACTCTGGAGCAATAGTTTTGTGTCTGTAAACCCGTTTATACAAAGCCATGTCTACTTGCGACCCCTTGTCACAGCTTGGATGAGTTGGGGAGTAACAATGCTCTGAGTAATCCCCATGACATGCTGTCAACAGATTTCATAGGGACAATTTCTTTAGTGTAAACTAGGACATTGTTTCTGGAAAAACATGCATCGCATTAAATGTTATTTTTCATTACAAAGACCACAGAGGAGATTGCTTTTATCTAGTGTCATAGACAGATATCTCAAAACCTGGACGAATAAAATCAAAACAAACTGACCATCTTGCGATGGGATCACACCATCGGGCAAAGGGAGCAAAATGGGTAAAATCCCCACTTCCAACCCGGCAACTTCACTCTCACTCTCTCACACTCTCTCTCTCTCACTCTCTCACACACACACACACACACACACACACACACACACACACACACGCACACACACACACTTTTTCTGACTTCTTTTGTAATATTGAATATGTTTACCTCATCGCTCCTTAAAATCAAATAGCCTGAGCAAGACAAGTCAAGCAAGTAGTTGCTTCACTTTACAGGACCACAAGCCAAAAAGGCCGGGAGCCGCTGCATTAATAACTACAGACCATCTGGAGCTGGGATCAGACCAACCAACGCGCCAAATCCAGGCCAAGGGCGCTACTTCCGACCACACACATCTTCCAACATCATTGTGATCTCAACAACACACCTGTAAAGTGTCGGGATTGTGCGTTTGCTACACTATCACACACAGACCGACATATAAAAACACTCACACAGACTCACAAGGTGAAAACAATACTATGCTTGTTGTATCCAGTCAAACACTGTCATCCCATCATCTAGACATACAGGCACACATAATCATGTAAGAAGAAGAGCTGGGTACTCTTCATATAATGCCAAATAACCTTGACTACCCTGCACTAATAAATCCTCCCCTCAAATAAAACCCTGACACGCTATAGATATACAGAGTGCAATGCAGATAGGTGTGAGGCTTTCACACTGCGTGCGCCTTCAGCTCAAATGAGATCCATAGAGACCAGTATTTGCACACATATAGCATCGCCGGTCTATGGAGAGTGCCCCTTCTGCAGCTGCAGCCATTGGAGCTGAGCATTCAGTGGTTCACTGGTCTGGAATATATTCGCCGAGGAAGATGCGCGAGAAAGGGATACCCGCACTGACTCCATTACATCAGAGACACGCAGAAGACGAGTGTAGCACACTGGACTCCACACTCATCTCCTCATCTCCCCCGTGCCTTATGGTGCTGAATGGAAGAGAGGAAGGAGGGGAGAGAATCAAAAAGTAGGGGAAGACGTGGATGAGACAGAGATCGAGGCGGAGGGGTCAGCTCGAAGGGGGGGGGGGGGCACTGCCCAACAGCCACGTCTCCATGGCAACGTGTGGCCCCTGCATCGGTCCTGGGGAAAGTGGAAGTGACGGCGGCGATCTGTGCGCGTTCCGTATGGCTCATTATGTGGGGAATGAAGTGAAACAGCCAGGGGGTGCATTTGTTCTGCGTGGACTACCCCTCAGCTGCCAAGCGTCTGTCTATTTATAGAAATGAAATGAAAGAGAGAGAGAGTGAGAGAGAAGGAGAGAGAGAGAGAGACTGACTAGAAAAAGCACAGAGGCCATTTCCCCGCTCACCTCCCTCCATCCCTCCATGCAGAAGAAGTCTATTTTTTGTTGTTTGATTGTGCGGCTCTCTGTGAGTCAGTAGATGTAGTGAAGGTTAAAGCTTCAGTGACCACAGCTTCATCTGAGACAGCGGACTGATACATAAAAATACACACTTAGTGTACATCAGACCTGCACCGAAGGATTGTTTCTTTATTATCTATCCCAATTAGTTTACCCAATTAATCATCATAGTCTATAACATTTTAGATAATGTCGAAAAATGACCATCACAACTCCCCAAATTCCAATGTGACGTCTTCAACTTCACTAAGAGTTTAAAAACCAAAGATATTCCATTTACAATGATCTAAACAGAAGAGAGCAGCAGATCTGTGGAGCTGGAACCAGCAATTAATACATTATTCTAAATGATCAAACTGGACAGATTGGGTGTAGTATCAAACTTGACGGTGAAGTTAATCAACTAATTGGTGTAAGTGCTAAATAACTGACAACACACATTCGTAGTAAACTCTTGAAATCGTAATTCTACACACAAGTTACTCTATCATGTTGTGCCTCACACTGTGTATGGACCAAGAGAGCTGCTACAAACAGGGAACACTTTTATAGTGGGAGTTGAGAACCAACTGCAACACTCAAACCAGAGGTTTACAAAAGGAACAATTAACTAAATAAATACCAAATACGTTGGGTATCATCAACGTGGTGTCAGGGTTCACTGGGGGATCCTCCGTCCATTCACAGAATCAAAGATTTTGTATTTCTCTCATGGAACTGTATAATCATGTCTGTAATCTTCCACACTAGTGGTAATTAATCTTCATCTGGAGTGTGTGAGAGAGTTTGTTCGGGAGGAAGAACTTTTCATTCATCAACGGCCAAAAAGACTGAGAGCCGACTGGTTCTTCTGCCGAGTGTTTCCACATCAGAGCTGTGATGATCTGGCGGCAGTAAAACCGACTCGCAGGGCCGCAAATTAGAAGTGAAAATCTGACTGATTCAGGGGCCCCGGAGCTAGAAGGGGGCCCTGGAAAAAATGCAAGGGATTATTATAATGATTCAGTGTTTCAACCGGCTACATGGTTCTTGTTTCTAAGAGCTCATTAGTTCTCCCGTTCGTAGAACGCACTAGTAAATATTGAATTTGATTTCTACTTTTCTTAGCCGTGTCCAATAAATATTTGATGGCGTTTTCTTGCATTTTCAAATTAAAGATTTAGCAGCACGTGAAGGGGTTGGACCTTCCTCAAATTAGAGCTCACCGTGCATCCCGACAGCTCTCTTACGATAGCAAAGCCCCCCGGACTGACCCATTTTGGCCTCTGACGACTACACCCGTGCTGCATCTCCATAAAAGAACCGCAGTGCGCTGTAACATATCATCTGCTTCAGCGCTCTAAAGTCTCCTTCACATGCTTGATTTGAAGCAGGCTCCATGGGGAAGCCGTGAGGCGGTATGGCTTTGCACAACTAGGGAGGTTACGCTAGTTTATAGTTTAATACACAGCCATCATATAAGCTAATTCTACACACCAAATCCTCTGCAGAATATGGAAAAACTAGCGTAATGAATGGTCAGTTCACTCAAATCATCAAAAGAAAAATAAACATCCACCTTGTCAACCGTTTTCATTGGAACTACTTTATACAAAAGAAATAGTCCCTTTGAGAGCAGGTGAGATATTATGTAGAAGTCCAACCACTGCAGCTGACAGAAGCCACATCCTCCAAAGTTCAGGTCAGATGGTCTTAGACCATCATCACACTCACTGTGCGTTCCATGAACATACTACCACACCATTTAGTGTGCCAGGAAAAGATTCAGTATGTCCCAATACCAACATACGTTTGTAGGATATCTCACAAAAAGTTACACATTTTTTGTGTTTTCCTACAAAAGCCAGCAACGCGTGTACATTTTTGCAGTATGCAAGGTATCTGACTCTCCTTGCGGTTTGTTGGACAAGCCTGCACAATACATAGTATGTCAAAAATACCAAGATGTTCTACTACGGATGCAGCAGCCAATGCAGCAGATATATGAGTAAGAGAGTCAAAGTGCAAGGTGCCATGTTCTGAGGAAGTAGTTTGTTGAATGCATACTGCATGCTACAGTATGTACTTTGTGAGGGCAGCTGCAGCACTTACTAAAAGTAAAAAGTATACTATTTAGAATGCAACAGTATCAGTATTTCTACTTCCCCAGTTACAAACAGCAGTGTCTTGGCTGCAGTTTTGATTGTCAGACAGTACCGATCTAATCACAAACAGCCCGGGGGCAGGCCTGTGGAGCGTCCAGAATCAGTGTGTGATTGACCTCTAAGATTACAGATGCACCAACATGTGACTACTCTAACTTTAGAGTGGCCTCTTCATAAACAGAAGCACACACACCACACGTTTCTATCAACACAGAACGACAAAAGGTTAGATCTGATCAGCCGATTCTGTGACAAATTACTTGATTAACTTTGTTTGGTGGATTAGAGGCTGCTTCACGGCAGCTCGGCCTGAAACTCTTTAACAACCACGACGACAAAGCAGGAAGATTTCCATCAGCACAATCTGTGCATGAAAAATAGAATAATCCTCACATACGAGCTGTTTGTGTCCCGTCAATTCCAGAGAAACACCGGGTATTAAAGTGACTCAAAAAACATGAACATAAAAAATGTGATTACAGAAAATGTATCCCAGGACATTTTCATACAGACCTCTCCACCTGAAGAATATTCATCACGTCCCATTTCCCAATGTGAACGAGGCGAGGCAGTACATGCATTATCCGTCAGTCACACACACATTACTTACACGTACAAGACTCGCAGCAAAAATCATGTTCTTTTGCTTTGTCGAACAAAAAAAAAAAAAAAAAGCAAAAAGGTAATACCATTTCCATTATAAACGTAATAAATCCACCGCGTTGCAAAATAATAACTGTCAGAGAAACAGATTACTGTCGAGACCTATAAAGCCTGAGGAGAGGCTGGACTGTTGCGTTATTTATTCTTTTATACTTTCAACTGGTAAATCAATGCAACACTGGTGTAAACAAAGACTACGAGCTTTTGTCAGAAACTAAATAAAAAGGTAAAAGTAACAATTTGGATCAATGGAACATAATTTATTGAGACATGGAGATCATACACAGACATATTTTCCATGTGAAAGGTAAGGTGCAGCAGCACACAGATGTGCCACCTACTGGTAGTTATTATTACAAACTCCTGATCACCAGAGTGGAGAATAACCTACCAACAGGTGAGTACAACACAATAGAGATCAATGCATCCTTGAACCTATATGACGGGTTTTGGGCTCATGTGCTGTCATTTTAACCACTTGTAGTTCTGAATGTGTTAGAACCAGAAGGGACCACAACTTGTTACGAAAGTTCAACGCAAACCAAGACCACACGAGTCGGGTTCATGCCTGAAGCTGCAGCGACAGGGCTTATTGGGTCTCAGCGGCGGCATCGCCCCGAGACTCCGTCCGTTATTTTCTGCTCCGCCCTGCTGCGGTGTGCGTTCAGTCCGCTCCACCTGCCGGGCCTGGTCCTCAGTCCTGTTTATTCTGCCTGGTGCGCTGCTGCTCCTGGTACTCCTTGGAGTCCTCCCAGGGACGAGGACCACGGATGTTCTTCCACTCCTCCATATTCACCTGCTTCATCTTCTGCAGAAAGGACAGAAATGCAACAGCAGGAGATGAGCTTTAAACTTCAGGACGGCAATAATTCAATATTGGACCAGACAAAGATTAAACTCTACAGGATTTTTTTTTTCCCTCCCCCAACTCTTAAAACATGAGCTCATGCATGAACACAAGACGCGCTCTGAAATGTCCAGATGTAGATAACTCTGACCATCTGTGTGGTCACACAGGGCAAAGGAGGTAAGAATTAAGCAGCCAGTACGCCTCCTCAGATTGAGGAATATCTTAATCTTTCTGACATTGGATTAGTAGAACTGAGTCGGAGTAGAACTTTCTGAAACAGACAATCCAACATCCAGCAGAGACTGTGTGCAGTTCCCCTGTATTTAAACGATAGTGTCTTCTTCACCTACTCTCCCTCAGGGCGTCCGGCCTTCTGTCTCCTTACCTCGTACTCCTCCTCCAGCATGACTGACTGCTTCTGGATGTCCACTTTGGCCTCCAGTGAAGGATCCAGCTGAGAGAGGGAGAGAGGAGGAGGACTGTTATGGTACAGAGCTTTCTGATAGAAAGTCACGCATTCACTGTGTGAATTTAAGAATAAAACAGTTTGAGGGGTTTGTGTCGTTGCAACTTTCGACTGAAGCAGCTTCTCCCCCTCCTCTTCTTCGTGTTTTATTTCTTTAATGTATAAATTAAGTTTAATTAAAGACAGAAATTATGTGTCAAAGGGTTTTGGGAGAGAGCGTCCGATGGTGCTATCTGGGTTTTGCAATTCAAATTGATTTTGCCCGAGAATAGGACTGAAATGAATCCCATTCTGAATCATTACTTTTAATGAGTTCTAATATTTCACAGCAATAATGCCGCAGTTACTCGGGTAACTGATGAGTTCCATAATTCCATGATTGATTTTTAATTAGACCTACATTACTACAGCAAATAAATAATATATAGAATACTTTGCAGCCTTCAGACGGGGGAATTTATAGCTTAGTTATTAGTGCGATACCTGCTATGGAGGTGTTATTAGCTTTTCTTCGACTCCCACAAGACTGAACCTCAAAACCAAACTGGGAGCATCCAAACCTGGACAGGGAGGACAAAAGGCCTTGAAGTTCATCTCTTCCTGCAGGCTAAATTAGATCGTTGAAGAGAAAATACTAATTGGATCATACAGCGACTTAACCCTCAGACAGCGCTTTTAATGATTTAAACGGGTGAATATATTTGAGAACAAAATAGTGGAATCGTCTGACAACAGCTCCAAGTAAGACGTGCAAGAGTGGTTTTAATCATGCGCATTCCGACAACCATTTAGATATTCCATGCATTAAATTGCACACACACACGCTGGGCCGAGTTGAATCTTTGCTCCACGGGGTCTGAGAGGAGAGAGGCTCGGTCCGCCGCAGGCCGCCCGTCACAAGAGAGCGAGCCGTGTGGGGGTAGCTGCACAGGCTCGCTGCCAGCGGCACGCTGCCTCCCTCCACCGCCGTCAGCCACAGTCTAGTGCAGTAATAAGAAAAGATGCCCCTGCCATCTGGCTCCCACCCACATGACGTGCATCGGCGTTTGTCAGAGTGAAATAGCACAAAACAGCTACTTCCCCTCGCAGCCAGCTCATCAGATTGCGATGCCTTCTAATCAAGGGCTGGTCTTCTGTCATTCGAATGCATTGTGTCTGTCATTTAATGAATTATTAGAGCTTGTTCTCACTAAATGCATTAGAATAGCCTGTCAGTGCTGTGTGCCTGCAGTGTGTTAAATGATGGATAGACAATGCATCTAATTCTGATGATGAATAACCCAAAATAAACCACATAGCTCTTTGAAATCCCAGCAGTCCCAAACATCTCTATGAGTGCTATTTTTACATTTTCCTCTCAGATAAAATCGTGATCCTCACGTGCAACTGTGTGTGTAACCACTGGGAGGAGTCATTGCACACCGGCTGGACAGAGTCCGTGTCCTTTGATCACTGAAGTGACTGTCCACTGGTTTCTTGTGATGGTGGAAATGGGAGAAATTTAATCTACCGTCACATTAGTCAACAGAAACTCTCCATCAAATATGTGTAATGTAAGAGTTAATTTACTACAAACCCTTTTTCTGATCCTCTGGGCATCATATCGGATTTGTGTAAACTCTCGCAGGCCGAAGGAACCTCCAACTACGAGCAACTGAAAAAAGATTGAGCACATATGGTGAGTTCATTTAATCCAAAATACTTTGGTGACTGATGTTTGGGCATTGCAGAGCACTTGATTCAATGAAGTTTGTAAGGAGACATGACATCACAGTAACACTCAGTTAAACATGAGAACTTTTTACTAAATTGTCATTCAAGCGTTATTTATCCAAGAACAACATTATTTAGCTCAAATATATGCAGCACAATTTAACAGCAGCACAATATACCGTACAGAAAAAAAATGACCCATCGAAAAAAAACTGAACATTTCATAAATGACGGTTGGTTTATTACATGGCAACCGATTCCTTTTGCACCACTTGTTATAGAGTGTTAGACGTCTTTGATAAAGCCTTCATGCTGTTTAAAAAACACTTTTAGATTTTAAAAGTCTTTACCTAGGGTGTCTACAACCCTTTCATAACAATAAGTTGTGCCAAAAAACAGAGAATCGGTCACTCAAAATTGTCAACTTCAGCATCATGGAAGGTTGTTATGAATATTTGACAGCAACTGTTTTAGTTGAAAGTGTGTATGGATAACTTCCTATTGCTTTGAAGCTATTAAACATGCACAGGTTGCCACAACAAATAACTCCTGGTGCTTATCAGTTTGGATAACCTCTACTTTACCCTTTAGCACATACTCTTAAACTTCCATTAAAACAAGAATCAATATTTGCAATACTAAAAGCTGGTGATGAGGTGAGGAACAGCACTAGCTAGTGACACATTGTGCTTTGAAACAAGGATTTAAAAAGTACAAAATAATTTAACTTTATGGATCATTTTGACTTTAATATCAACAGGAAACAGGCAAAATAAGTCGCCCTGACGTTTGACAGCAGCGTTATGTATCACGAAACTGCTACATTGCTAGCAAAAGTGTTAGCCAACAAGCTTATACAACGCTAGTACAGATGCTGAAACGTAGAATATAAGATACTTACAAGCATAGGGACTCCATATTTGACTGTTTTGTTTTTCTGCAACGCCTTTAGGCTAAACATGACTCTTCTTTCCAGCTAGAAGTCCATTTTACAGATGAGCAGGTCAAATCCAGGACGCGCTTCCTGAATAGGTCCGACGGACTAAATTGTCCGTAGAGTTGTGAAGACGCGACCGAAGGTTCCCGTGCGTGTGTCGGTCTCAGTGATGGCGATGGGAAATGCATTTTTTTTTAAATAAAGAAAGAAATACCAGAAAATATTAATAAATATCAAAACTCCTCTCGCTGTTGTGGATTTCTCCTTGTGATGCTTTCTTTTCACACGGTTCGTTGCGTCTTCTCGTTACTTGCAGTGTCTCTTGAACAATTGCATCTTCAACTTTATACATTAACGTTTTTCTGCGAGCACATACACTGTAAACCTCTGCCGACTATTTCACATGACATACATGGTTAATATGTCCCTACCATCTCTGCAGCGGCAGGTTTCAGTCCACACTCCTGCTGACCGATTCAGGTATTTCCACTTAATTTGTCCGAGTAGAGCCTTGCAGCACTTGTGTGTGCATGAACTACCTTTAAGGGCGGAACCAAGGCTGGATAACCAACTGAGCAAAGTAGGAAACTGCCTCTGGTGAGGAGACCCTCATACCACAGGCTCTTAATGTGACAATTAGTTTTTTGTACCTTAATTAATTTCAGATTTGTTTGAGGGGCCCAAAGTTAAAGTCTTGTTTTTCTATGAGACATTTACCACAGTCCAAAGTTTTAAAAAAAAAAGCCTTAGGTTTGGTTTAAAAAAAAAAAAAAGGTCAAAAGTGTAAAGTAATGTTGTGTATCTGGACTGCAGAAAATGAAAACGACAGTGGTATGTTACCACATACCAAATCCTTACTCGCATAATCATAAACTCCTGAACAGAATTAAGTCCCGGACTGAAGAAAATGTCCCCACAGATTTAACTCAGAAGAAATAAAACTGGCTACAACACACCACCACCGCGATACTCAGGGTTCTAGTTTCCTCAAGTCCACATCACGCAGGTAATAACTAACTTCATGTGGGAGTATTTTGGCCACCATAATCATTTTAATGAGTGTGGGTTCTGTTCTTGCTTGCTTCTCCAGGGACATAGGGATATACACATACTGCCTACAGTTTTATGATATAGGCATTTACTTTTCAGAGAGTCAGCTAAATGCACAAACTGTCAAAGTACATCCATTAAAACCATAAGTGATCCCTGTAGTATACAGAGAATAAGAAAAGAAAGTATAGCAATTTTTTCTTTATTACAATTTTTGTATCTTATTTTCAATCAGGTGAAGAAAAATACCTTTTTTTTTGTTCAGTATAATAAAATATGTTAACTTTATTCATTTTATGAAGTAAAACAATGACAAGAAAATAAAAACGGAAAACATTTTTTTTCTCTCTCCCTCTTTGTAAACCTGGAGAGCTGCTGCATTGCGTGGGAAGCAAATGCAACGGAGACAGAGTGTGAGGGAGCAGTGAGGAGGCTGGAGAGGTGGGGGGAGGAGGAAGAGGAGGAGGAGGAGGAGACAGAGGATAATGACAAAAAGATAAGGCCAGAGACACACAAAAAATGAGCGTAGTAGGACAGGAGTTTGGTGAAGGGGCAGGCGGAGGATGTGGCGGTGATCAGAGCAGGTAGGCTGGTGGTCCCGAGTCAGGACGACTGACAGAGTGTTCAGAGGTCGCTCTCTCCGTACAGAGCGGTAGAGAACGACATGTAGTCGAGGGCTCCGGGCACAGCGTCGGGGCCGGTGTAGGGGGCCATGCGGGCCATGCAGTACTCCGCCTGGTCTGGAGGCAGCTCCCGGAGCAGCTCGTCGGCTAAAATGTAGTTCTGTCAAAGGATGAGAAAAATTAAATTTTTATGTTAGAATAGCAGCTTTATGCAATCAATATATTCTATATTCAGATGTAGCAGATGGTGAGAACGTAGGGAAATAAAATGAGCTTAATATAAAAAGCAAGTGTCTGGATTTAGAATTCCTTTTGATACATGAATATTTATATGTGGACATGGAATTCAAAAGACTCTCTGTTATGTGTCTGCAGCTTTCAGCCACTTTCAACATATTTCAAACATCTAGCAAGCCAAAGAGACTTCGATATTTCAAGGTAACAAGGAAACAAGTGCAATGAGATGTCCATGCTGCTCCATTTCTGTTGGATGTGTAACATCAAGAACGTATAATTGGGTTCTTATTTCTTTCTAGTGGTCGGAAATACATTTTTGTAGGATATCAATGACTTAATGAATAATTTGGTAGCTGAAGAGTTCACTGGCTTTAAGATCTCCTTTTTTTCTGGTGGTTATGGAGCTGAATCTAGGAATTTCTACTACAACACACGGCTGTACCTTGTCCCCCGCCAGGACTTTGAAGGAGGCCATGACTTGGTCGGCAGTGTCTGTGTCGGCCGTCTCGCGGGACATGAAGTCGATGAAGGCCTGGAAGGTAACCATGCCCATCCGGTTGGGATCCACTATGCTCATGATGCGGGAGAACTCGTTCTCACCCTGGTGGCAACAGAGAGGAACTGTGAAGCTCAGTCACAAAAACACACAGCAAAAGGCATATATTCTACATACAGAGATAGAACTTGGGTTCTGCTAACGACTTCACTGTAAAACACAAATACACATTACACAAGTGAGTTTTAAATTCATTTAAATTATCCATGATTTATATTATATTCTGTAATATATTCCATTTATTTAAGAGCTCTATGGAAAAAAAAAAAAAAAAAACATCCATCAAAATCTAAAATAAAATCTAAAAACAATTAAGGTTCCGTCTATCATTACCATTTCCAACTGCTCTCATTAATCACACACAAACAAACTTTCATACTCGAGGAGCACTCATGGCTTTACCAGGTTGTAACCAACGGAGATAAGGCAGGTTTTGAAGTCTTCAGCGTCCATGATTCCTGATCTCTTCTACAAGGTCAGCGATGGACAAAGGAAACCAGGAGGAAGAGAAAGATGTAGAGTGGCAGGGATAGCGGAGGGAAATGATTGGAAGATAATAGGATGAACAAAGAGTAGAATTAAGGAGGAAAGCCGCAATAATCCACAACGTGGACGTCGCAAGGTGTGGGAAATCAAAACGGAAATTTAGACAGGAGGGATGAAGAGTAAAGGTGGGAAGAGAGGGAGAATAGGAAGTACGGGGGGGGGAGTACAAAAGAAAAAAGAAAGAAAGAAACCAGTTAAATCTCTCACAGCGGGGTCGTGGCTACGATGAAGTACCTGTGTATCGTTGGCGATATCGAAGCCCAGGCTGATCAGGCAGGCCTTGAACTCCTCCGCACCCAGAGTGCCCGAGTGGTCCTGGGGTGTGGGAGGCCAGTGCCAGGCGAGTCGAGGCGTCGGAGGGGGGGGGGGGCCACAGGCCATGCAGCAACACATACAGCGGTGTCAGTGACGGTGAAGGGGGAGGTAGGTGAGGTGGTGTTGGGGGAGGAGGAGGAGGGTGGAGGGAGTGCACCATGCACGTGGGGGTAAAAGGAGGTGAGGGGGGTGAAGGGGGAGGTGGGTGAAGGGAGAGGGCCATGCATGAAGATAGAAAACAGAGAACACAGTGCATATTCATTAGGATGTGGCAGGTTAACACACGGTGGCAGCAGTGCTGCCATGCTGGGCGAGGGCATTCAGAGGAGTTAATGTGCAGTGTGGCAGGCAGACTACGGGGCCCCATGGTGAGGTTAGTCATACCGCCGATGGTACGCATACTGAACATCACATCTCTTTACCTTTTTGTGTACAGCATCAATGCAAAATGCTTCCTTTAACATGTACAATTCATTTCACCACATACTCGCATCACGTAAATGTAAATACACAGACTTGAGCTGCGACTAATTATTATTTTCCTTATCATTTGATCTGATTGTTTTCTGAGTTTATTTCTTAATGGTACGGCCGATAAGATGTCAGCAAATAGTAAAAGTTAAGGCGTTAAAAAATGTCTCACTGTGGATTATCTTCCTGATTATTCTACTCATTGTTTAATCTATAAAATGTGAGAAAACAGTCCCAGCTCCCTGGAAGCCGAGACCTGTTCAAATAACTTGCTTTGTGCAAAACCCAGAGGTATTCAAGTTGCACTAAGGTGACAAACAGCCAATCCTAGAATTCGAGAAGCTAAAATAAACAAATGTTTGATTCATTTGCTTGATAAACTCAAAATTGATTTGTTTTCTAATTGATGGACTAACGGATGAATTGAAACATTGTTTCAGCACTGCCACTGACTATAAACCAATATAGTACAGACTAAATGTTTCCCCCATCAAACTAAAGTAAAAAAATCACTCCTTTTTCTAATCAATGCATCAGATTAATCTGGTGCTACAGCTCGACACACCTTCCCCCTCACCCCAACCAACCATCAAATGTCAAGCTGAAAGCCTTGGAGAGGGAAGCATTAATCCTAATGAAATATGAAACAAAAGCACAAGTTCAGGTCCACAGTCGGCTTCCTGTGGGCTCCGATACTCAACCTCAGGTATTGATTAACAATAGGCCAACTCTGGAAAAATGCATGAGGTAATGGTGGAGTCAGCAGGGGAGCTGGGAGGAGGAGAGGGAGAGGGAGAGGAGGAGGGGGAGCTGAATAAAAACTCCACCATAATTGGTGCCGTTTCTGACACGGTGAGCCCCAGTGTAAACACTATGTTCTGGAGGCGGGGTAAAGAAAGCAGGTTGTATAGAAACAGCCTTCAATGGACAGATTCTCCATTCCTATTTTACCTGCTCTGTTTTCATTTGATTTGATTTAATGCCAACCTTCTTGTATTACACAATAAAAAGATTTCCGCTGGTGCATGAGGCTGATTCTGGCTGCCACTTTCCTTGATCTGCCTGAAAGCCCCCGAGCTTTTAAAGATGAATGTTGTGTCACCAAACTGAAAGTCCCTTTTCAACCAAGCAGTAAGGTCGATACACAGCCTGATGCATCACACACTCAAACTGTACACTCAATGTTTTCTGGTTGAAGGGTCGTTAAAGGATTGGTCTGGCAGCACGACACGACAAACTGATGTATTCTCACCTGAACGTCTTTGCTTTGTTGATGCAGTCTAAATACATAAGAGACAAACCCATTTAAGTCCAACATTTTGGGAAATAAACTTATTTGCTGAGAGTTAGATGAGAAGATTGACGCTACTCTCATGCGCTAAATATGAAGCTAGAGCCAGCAGACAGTTAGTTTAGCTTAACACTTGGCACTCAAAAGGCTCACTGATAAATCAGCAGACTCCAGGAAGTCACTGCTCCCGACCAGGAAATAGTTTTGGCAACAAAACCCCGGTAACATGGAAAATTTATGTTTTTACACGTTGGTTTTTGTACGACTAAAGAAACAAAATAGAACGTGTTAATTACTGAGTTTTGGAGGTGCTGATAGGTCGACTTTAATACCTTTGGACAGACAGAGCCAGGCTGGCTGTTTCAAGTTAAGCTAAGCCAACAACCTGCTGGCTTTAACTTTATATGTAACAGACAGATATGATCGATATGCTCATCCAACTACCAGCAATAACGCAAATAAACATATTTCCCAAATGTCCAACTATTCTTTTAATAACACTAAACCTTTCTTGTGTAAATGAGCAGCGTAGGACCTGCAGCACCTCTCACCCGCCTGCTGCTTTGTGTCTGCACCGTGACTCAGGACGAGTACTGACCCTGTCGAAGTGGTTGAAGGAAGCCCGGTACTCGTTCAGCTGTTCCTGGGTGATGCCCTTGGCGTCTCGCGTCAACACCTGGTTCTCGATTTCGTTGATGGTGCGGGCGATGGTGGTGAGTAGCTGCTCCCAGCCCACGCGGATGTGCTGCAGAGGAGTGAGAGGCAACAAGAAGTTTAAGGAAGAAACGGATAGTAAAAGAGTCTCAGAGGCATTGGTTCTGGGTCAAACAGAGGTTGGAAATAAAATGTTTTTCAGTTTAGTCTTAGTTTTTCTTAAAGAATATCATTCTTATGTAGTTTCAATTAACGAATAACATTTTGGTTTTGGTTTCAGTTTTAGTCAACAATAACAATCCTGGTACTAATGCAGCTACAAGGATGTACCTGGAAACATTGTGCTCAGAAGCTCAGATCATTAGTGAAAATTAGAAATGATCATTTGATTAAAAAAATCTCTTTATACAAAGTACATTTTCATCTTGTTTCGGGAGAAAATTAACAATTATTCAGATGTAACAGCTGACATGAAATTCCTGGCAAAAAATGGGCAGCTAAAGTGGTGGAAAATGGTTAAAACTTCTACTAATGTCCCTTGAATGGGTTCACATTCACACAAACAGTTCGATGTAAATGTACTCATATTTAAGAAGTACCTTATGGGAGGTTGGGAATCACTACCGCTTTTCTTCTGTCTGAATAACTATTGTTACACTGGTTAAACCACAACCTAAATGGTGCACATGCCCAGCAAAAAACGAGATGCAGACAAAAAAAATACATAATTTGCATAAATACAAGAACAAAATCTGTCTTAACACTTTAAATCTGCTCTCGTTACCAAACCCTCTGCACAGAGGCTGATTCTAGAAGCACACCTACATAATAGCTCTGCAAATGGGTCAGTTGATGTGCAGAGTTTCAATAACAAGATTCATATGAATTATTGGCCAGTAAAAATAATTCTTGGCAGAGACAGGCAGGGGTTTACAGTTTTCCAGCACTTGGCTGATGAGCCAAGAAGTTAATATCGTGCACTGGCGACAGGATGGAAAAGTGCAACGTCAGGAAAGTTCAGCATTAAAACTCTCAAAGGTTTTCCAGTGGTCGTCTGAACATTCTGCCACCCTTTGCTTTGTTCTTTGGGGCAAACCGCGGCCATTTGACACCAACACAACACAAAACCAGTCGGGTCAGATGAGTACGTCAAACAGACCAACAACAATCTCAAATGTTTGGTGATGTATTTAAAGCTTGGCTCCAGGTTTTTACCTCCATGGTGTAGTTGGTGTGCTTGTTGTCAAAGATGAGAGCTTCCTGAATGAGCTGGTGGTCTCCCTCCAGCTGGTCGATCTTTGGCTTGTAGTTGACGATGCTCTTCTCGTACTGGCGTAGGTGTGTCAGCTGGTCCTCCAGGGTGCCGTGCATCTCGATTGAGATGCGGCCGATTTCCTGCAAGAGACAAATACAGATTATTTATTAAGAATGAGTCACTGCAAAGTGGAGGACACGATAAGATTGACCTCTTTACCGGTCATAGACATATTCTTATCATATCTAATGGTATTTTACTTGTATGCTGTATGTTACATGTAGCTGCAGTCAGTGCAAATCCTGTGATGCCACTTTGACTATTAAATGCACTGATACTTACAAACTAACTAAGTTACACACAGGCTGCACTGACGCCGGCCTCACTGTGACCTCTTAACCTGGTCATTTGACCGTCGGCTCTGCTCACACTGACCTCCATCTTGGCCTGGATCCACGGCCCGATGACATTGGCCTGGTTGGCAAACTGTCGGCGCAGACGCTCGTTGTTCTGCTGCCGTGCGTGTTCCTCAATCAGAGCCTGGTCGCGCTGAGGCACCAGCTGCCGGACCTACAGCAGGCAGAGTCATGAAAAAACCCAAATGTGTTATTAATGTGACTTTTAATGAAGAGGGCAGACTGAAACTAGGATGATGCATTCACTGAATTTCTCTCCACAGTAGAACAGGATCTTGCTAAAGTTTTAAAAATAAAAACAAAACTCTTGTGCCGTTAATACAGCCAAGTTTGGGCTGGCAGAAACAGGTTTGATTGTAGTAGCGAGCCTCGTTTAATGTAACTGTAAGACCTGACACAGACCAGCGTGTGTGGCTTAAACCCACGACAGAGACAGCTTCCTTTAACAATACAATAGCTGGGTGAAAAATATCAAATTTTCCGACAAACATTAAAGGAAACATTTATATGTTCCCACCTGTATTTCGGGTTTCTACTAGAACATGTTTATATGCTTTAATATTCAAAAAAACACTCTTTTTCTCATACTGTCTGTCTGAATATACCGGTACCCTCCTTAAAAAAAAAGCCCTGTCTGCTCTGATTGGCTTGCAAAAAACATACAGTGCACATGTGCAAAAGTAGATCTCAAGCTTTGAGTGGAAATACGCAGATGTTTGGTTTTTTCATGATGTGTCCCTTTAAAGGCTGTAAGATCTTACGGTATAGCATATTAGTGAAATACGCTTATTCTTGGCGAGAGTTAGATGAGAGAATCAATACCAGTCATTCCTGTGGCAAACAAACCAAAGAACTGTCTGCAATGTGCAGACTCGAAACTGCTGCATTAGATCTTCTTTGGATAAATGAAGATTAAAAACCATCGTGAAGTGCGTCTTTCCTTGCTCATGACTGATTTTAATTACCTTGTCCCATTTGGCGTTAACCTCCTGTGGGTTGATGGTGGTGTAGGGGTTGGTGCCAGCCATATTCACATGATAGGTTTGCACAATTTTGGCAATCTCATTGTGGATGCCCAGGATGGCCTGGCGCTCTTTGTCGGCCTCTGGCAGCGTGGCTTTGAACTGCTCGTGGGCTGTGCTTAACCCCTGAGGCACAACGCACACAAACACAGGAAATGAAAATCTAAACCACAAAATCAACAATAAAGGCTTTTTTTTTCTCTAAAAGAGCAATTTACTTCCTCCGTCTTCCGAACTTAAACGTACAAGTGCTTTTTGAAACCATTAGCTAGAACATGAGGGAGGGAGAGTCTGGTTTCTGCTCTTATTGCAGCATCTGGTGCCAGAGATCACAAGGACAACGGTACGGTTTATATAGTACAGTATGGATATTGTGCCCAGATAATAATTACAGCGATTTTCTGGAAGTTTTGGAAAAGAGACTAAGCTCATGTATAATTTAAATCTTCAGTTTGGTGCTGTTCAAACATTTACTGAAGCTTTTCTTTGTTATTCTGTTGTTTCACATCTTATACATAATGTATTTACACATTAGCAACAATAGTTTATATTTACTTACTTGTATTCACTTATATACACTGTATTTAATCCTGTAAACCTACAGTGCTTTGCCTTGGTGTCATACTAGTAATGAGACTAGTACATGTATGCAACAGCTACATACAAGTCAGTAATATACTGTATGTCTTTCCCATGTTTCCAAGCTTTACATTCAACCAAAGTTTGACATTTTGGGGAACGTTTGAGTTGAATGAAAAGATCGATATCACTCTTATATCTGTCAGGTAAATGTTAGCTTAGCTGAGCATAAACTGGAAACAGGGAGAAACAGCTAGCCGGCTAGGGGTCCCTGCGAGTCATTTCTGTTCTCACCTGGATTTCCTCGATGGTGTGGACGATGAAGGTATCCTGCAGGTCCTCCATGGCGCCCTCCATCCAGTTGTTGAACGGAGCCGCTCTTTTGGCAAACTCAAGGTACAGTTGGTCAATGGTTTCAAGCAGCTTCTCAGTTCTCTGTTGAGCGTAAAAACACAAGGTTACCACACAAATTCATTGGGGCATAAATAGATGGATTTAGCATCACACTGCATTTTCAAGGCGAAAAGCGAATCCTGAAATTCAAATCTCCTCGCAGCCTCTCACTGTGAGGGAGAACACTTTCATCTCAGAATGTGTTATTATTTCTGCTCTAACCAGCACCAAGAAGGACAGAAGGAACTTAAAAACAGGGATAACAAAGAGATTTTAGACGGTAGAAACTCAGTAGCCAATTTATTCCCACCTGCAAAGCCTCGCTGCGTTTCTGGGTCATAGCTCCCAGTGCGTCCCACTGGTCACAGATCCGCTGGCAGCGAGCATTTACACTGGGGGAGTCGTAGTAGTCCAGCTCACTGGAGCACAAACAGACAAGGGAACAAAAGATTCATTATCATTACCTGCATCACCTCGGTTTCCATTTACATCATTTACTTAAGCTTTGGTTGTTTTCTGCCGTTGCACTTGAATCTTCGATGCACTTGAATGCCTTTATGATCCTGTTGTGTCTTTGTTTGTGTTTTGATTTTATGGTGTTAAACATTTCTATAAGCCCCTAAAGGATTTCTTTGAGTCACTCGTCAGGTGTGTGTTTCACTTTTGCAGTGTTTCATCATTTACATCTGCAAAATCAAGTGAACCAGAGATTAAGAGATTGACTTTTGATGTTTACGAGGAAAATTCTGAAGATAATAATTGACTAAAAACCATTTAAGATCACCACACACAACAATCACTCAACCACGGAAGAACAGACCTCAACCTAACTCACTCTATTTCATCTTGTATTTATCAACAGAAGGCAGCGGTGCAATCTTTTCACCATAAACCTGTTTATCACATCTTACTTTAACTCCTGAGCGATGGCAGCGATCTGCTCCACTCGGTCCTGATGGGCAGCCAGGTCGCTCTCGAAGGCCTCGTGTTTCTTCAGCAGGGCCTTAATGTCTGACAGAGAGGCCGTTTCGTAGTCGTGCTTTTGCAGCATTTCCTCTTTACCTGCAGGGGGAGACACCAAAAAGTAAAGCTAAAAATATGCATCTCAATCCTATCATCAATGACATTTACCTGTTTGTAATGCTGGTTTCGTGATACTAAAACAAAAGGACAATTACATAAAGGCTTTTATTTCTATTTGACTTTGTTGTGGCTTTTAGCAGCCAGGTTGAGGCACATGAGGCTAAAACACAGGAGCTGGATCTTTATATCCAGACAGTGAGTATTTCTCCTCTCAGTACCTTCAGTCCAAGCTTCATGGATGGCTGCTTTCTGGCGGAATTTCTCCGCCAGGTGGTCGAGTCTTTCCAGCCTGCGAATCTCATTGAGGAGCCACTCTTCATAGCCCTTCTCGGCTCCCTCTAGATTTCCCCACGCATTGTTAATGTCCTGCACCAGGCAAAGGAGAAAAAATCAACCTTCCTGTTGGTGTTTTTATCTGTTCTCTCACTTTTTATTGTACAAGTTCATGCTGTGCATTTTAATACGTCATATGATCGCTGAAGTTCAACCTGCTTTAACAGATTTTTTGGCCAATTGTGAGCAGCAGGAAACAGGCTGTGAACTGTGAACTTGACAGCAAACAGTTGCTTGTATACACATCAAAATATTGATTAACGTAGCTTTAAATTGGATGGAAGCTACAAAAAAATATCTGCAAATCGTATGCTTTTTTTGCAATTATCCACATATGTATGGAAACTAAAACAGAGTTTTGATGAGAGACTTTGTATGATTAAAGTCATTAAAAGAGTTTTGGAGGGCACACCTTCTACAGATTTATCTATAGAGGTCATGATACTCTAGGTTATATTTGGGCTGCACTGTAGATGGACATTTTAAAGCAAACAAGCAACCAAGTGAGACACGGGTTTAATAATGGGATCAAATGTTCCCTGGCTTCATGTGCCTCCATGATTCATATAAGCTGAGGTAAATCTTTGGCCACTGAAGCCCATCACAGTCGTGTTCTGTGTTTGTTTTGTGTGACCTACCGAGACCATCTTCCCCTCCGAGGGCATGAAGGCGGGCCTGTTGCTGAGCCTCAGCTTGGTCTGCAGGGTGTTGAAGTTGATCTCCAGCTGGCACTTCTCCTGCACTTTGGGCGGCTTGTGGAGGCGGCGGTAATCTCTGAAGTCCTCCAGCTTCTGCTGCATGGCCTGCATGGTGTTCTCAGGCATGCGGTTCTCCAGCCAGGGGATGGTGCGACGGATCCACTCCAACAGCTGGGGTGTTGATGGTGGTGTGGGTGGTGGTGTGTGTGTGTGTGTGTGTGTGTGTGTGTGTGTGTGTGTGTGTGTTGAAGGGTGAGAATAAGAGAGAGGGGATGGAGGAAAAACAAGTACCAGTCAAGGGAAAGAAGATGTAGATGCAAAGGAGAACCGTGCAGATAAAAGGAAAAGGGGAAATGTATGATGTGTCGTGATGTGTGTATTATGTGTAGTGGATGTAATCAATGTGTGAAACGAGGGGAAAAAGAATACAGATTGAGATAATTGGTTTGCTGTTCATTTCTCGCAACCAAATGTAACCCGAACAACATTTTATGTTGGACCAAAAAGGACCATACTTGTGTTTTTGCAAGTTTTATCTCATTTAAAATATGTTATTTTTAATGCTGCTGACCATTTTCCATCTTAAACTTTTTAGAATCACAAAACTACCGTCAGAATAATAAAGCCTGACCAATATGAGGTTTTGAGGTGTTTTTAAAAATCCGATAAAGATATATCAGCTAATTTATTTTGGATAAACAAATCACACAAACAGTCTTAACATAGATCTGTTAAACTTGGTTATTGAAGAATTGTGACCGAGTTATGTCTTTAACGGGACATTTTACAGTTATAAGTGAGCTAAAACGGGCAAAAACAGTCTTATGAAGATTCGTTGCAGGATTGTCTTTTACGCTTAAGCCTCAAACCAACAGTGTTTCCCTGGCTGCCGTTCTATCTCCATCGACCCTGTTTCCAGTCCTGACCCTGCACCTGCACTGAGCACTCTTTTCCCCCCACCCCCCGAGGGCTGGGAGGCAAGGGAGCGGCTTAAAAAGGAGAACGGGGGAGAAAGAAGGGCAGAGGAGGTCCAGGACAATTATAGGAACAATCGGGGGGGGGGGGGTGCTCACATCACTGGCCAGCTTCTCATAGTCCTCCATCAGCTGCTCATTCTCTTGGTTGACAGCCAGCACCTTGCAGATCCTGTTGGCCGCCGTCTCTGCCTGGAAGATGAGGGAAACGGTGTGAGACGCAGAGCTGAGTGAAGGCACTTTCTGTTCTGGGCTCTCCATTTTATGCTACTTTATACTTCTACTTAAATATTGTAGTTTTTAGTTTTATATGACGGCTGTATTTACTTTTTAGATCCTTTATATTTAAAACACATGATCTAATAAAATATAGCACATTGTTAAAGATTAAAACAGCTTATGAGGGAGATTACGTTTGATCATATAATTAACTTCCCTTGTGTTTAAACTGAATCCTGTGCTATGAAACCTTTGACTGAATCTTGGCCTGGTTGCCTAAACTAAGGCCTTGTTGCCCACCTGGATGTCACCAGAAGATCCTGACCTTTGAGTTACAATGAGGCCATGAGAACAAAAGGCATGAAGGATACGAACTTAAAGAAGCAACATCGATCAGAGGGGGAGGACCAAGCCACAGTATAAAGAGAGAGAACGGCTTCTCATCGGTGTACATATTAAAAACTAACCCCAACATGTTCTGAGCATTAATAATGTGACAATACTGGCAGAGACTTTTGTCGCGTTCCTTGTTGTCAGAGTGGGATTATAAAATTGCCACGACAGCCTCCCAAGCTTTATGGCTTGTGACGGCAAAAATAAAAATATATTACCGTCTAGTTTGGGCTGATTGTCAGGTTTCAGAAGTTTATCTTCTTAGATACTTCTATTTAATTTACATTGTATAACTCAAAGAAGTAAAACGCTAAAGCTTAAATTTCCAAAGAATTACACAAGTGTGTGGTAAAACTTCTTTCCTACTGATTCAATCATCTCACAACTCGTGTGGTTTTTCTTGAGACCCTGTGAGGGGATTCGACCGCCAGCTTGAACTAACCAGCTGTATATAAAGTAGCAGCTCCTTTGACCTGCTACAACAGTAAAATGCTATTTACCCATTTATCCATCAGAATCAACGATCTAATAATGTCATATCAAATACATTATATATCAGTAACAGGACTTATTTCTGGTACTTTATGTACATTTTGCTGCTAGTACTTCTGTACTTTCACTAAAGCAGAACATTCAATGCAGGATATTATTTTTACATTTACATTAATTTCCGTCATAACTGCATCCATCCATCTGCACTGCCTACATAAGCACAAGAGATTTCCCACAGGAGGCATTTTGGAAATGAAGCAATGGATCAGCAACGACGCTGCAAGCAATGATGTTATTTCTGCAAAACTGTCTGGGATTGTGTGAACGTCACCTAAATGTCTTAAGATGAATCATCTGATGACAAGGACTGATTGTATCATGTTGTACTTGTTGTCAGGTGAAGGGGCACCGCAGTCTTTTTATAGAGTGCAGTGTGTTACTTCAGCCTCTCAGCCTACATACAGAGAGCCGGTGGGAATACAGCAGGAGAGCGAGGCTCCTCTGAGAATAAAAACGGTTCCCCGTGGGGATAAGGACGGACTCATCCATGACACAACACCTCCTTAACATTGGCCTGTCAGTCTTCATCACTGGCCTGGCAATGCATGAGCGAAGCAGAATTTCCATGACAACATGTAGTCCGTTAACCCGTTGGGTTCAAGACGAGTAGATGTGGTCGGGAAAGTTCATTGAGAACATAGAGAAAAAAAAAATAGAGAAAATTTAAGCAAAACATGCACAAAGTCTGGAAGATATGCGGTGGATTTGAGCTCGGGAAAAGTTGCATATTCAGCTCGATCTAAAACTTTCCTGCAGTATTTTAAAGCGCTGAAGTTAAAATCAAAATAAATCCACGAGCAACTGTCATGAATCAACCCTGACTGCACCATTATCGATTTCCCTCTAAAAAAAGAAAGCTTGACAAGGAGATTAATTCACTGAAAAGGGGGTATAACCTCGCGGCGGTGTCCTTTTAGAGCGTACGGGCTTGAATCCCACCCCCCCCCATTCTCATAACTCAGAGACTGGCTTTCCCCACAGAGGACTGCTTCCAGTCTGCTTTTGTCAAAAGATCACGGGGGAAACTTGGCTCGGCGGGAGAAATGCTGCGGGGGCCTCCAACAGGAGCAGCGGGCGGGCTGCCTTAAAAGGAGAGCCAGGATGTGCAGGTCGTGCTTCTGTGAGCAAATGTTTGCACGCTGGTTCTGTTTACTGACAGCCACGACCTCTTTCAAGAAATAACTTTGTCCTGACATCAGAGGTGGAGGAGAGAGGACAGTGGACGGATTGATTAAGGGGGAAAAAAACAATCACAGTTGATCGGTGAAGACAAAGTAATTTCTCTTACATTTTATTTATGCACTAAAACCTGCAATAACAGATTTGTTTACCACCTGGGGCAGCTTAAACAAACTGTAAAGACAACATGGGCAAAAAAAATCCTATCGGAGAGCAGCTTTAAGCTTACTTTTAATGTAATGCAACTAAAATACTTCATTTTTTAGAAGGCAATGTTAGGATTTTCATGTCCAAGTCTGGCCAACAAGGAAACATAAGAGTGAAGGTGTTTATGGGTAAATTCTGCCCTGGAGGGAAAAATCTGAGGTGTTAGACGGAAGAGGAGTCGCTGTTTCTATGCGAGATCCATGCCAGCGCTGTAAAACTGTGTGCCAGCCTGCAGTGGTTTCCGGACTCCTGCTCCTCGGGAGGTTCAACAGCTCCATTAAGAAGTGGATCCTAATAAAGATTTTAAGTACAGAAGGCTTAGCGGATGTCCTATGCGTGTGTGTGATAAGTCTATTATTCTCCGCAGAGATCTCAAGTGGATTTGGCTCGTCTTTGTCATAATGTATTCCACCGGGAGCGTAAGAACTTCATGCTGGCAGCGCAGAAAGGTTATCGAGGATCAATACGCTGCTGAGAGAGGGCAGATAAGGAGGCGCTGAATAACCAAGGGTTTGGTTTCCCGCCCACTATAACAAAAATGTATGAAGTCATAGCAGCTCAAGGCACACAATATAATGTTACCTATGTGAACATGTGTGTTTCTTGGGCTGCTTAATGCTTTAAAATGATGAATTGACCAGAAATACAATCGCTTATTTGCATATCCAGCAGTTACAGAGGAACATTATCATTCATATGGAGTCGTGTTTGTGCGCACCTGATAAATGTTGGGCCAACATTTTTTTCTTTCTTAATTAAAAAGGTATTGCAATCGCTCATATTGTCGTTTTTTTGGTGTCATTCGGTGTTTTAGAGTTGCATGTAAGCTGCCAACAAAAGAACGTTGGCAAGAATGACTGTTAATTCTCTGCCAGGCACTTTGGCAGGTATCCAGTTATTGTTTGGAGAATTCCTTTTCCATTTCATTTCTCACCTTCTGCTTGCCTGAGAACGCGTGGTAGTAACACGACACATAAGTCATGACGGCTTTCTCATCTGGCCTCAAGGTGCTAATGATATCTGCCCAGGGAACAGAGGGAGGAAGGGGAGAGAGGACAGAGAAGAGAGAAAAATGCACAAGAGTAAAAGAGTGCTGAGACAAAAAGGGCCAGCAGGGGGCGCAATCACTAGAGGAGGCAACAGCCGGAGCTTAAGTCATCTCAAGTCCACCTAGAAGGTTGTCTTCAAGTTGGTTTGTTTGTAGGGAAATCTCACTTCTACCTAAAAATGACTGAATTTGATGTGGGAAGTGAGCAGACGAAGTGAAAATAAAGTGTCTGGAAAGCTCTGGCTCAGCTCAATATGCAGTTTAAATAAATCAACACATTGAAGCAATATGCCTCGAGCAGATCATCCAGAAATACAGCCAGAGATTTGGTATCAAACATCTGCCAATAACTGTAAAATACGGAGGATAAAGGCAGTCAAACAGAGAGCAAAGTTAAAGTTTGTGACGTTAACGTTGCATGGAGGGAGGAACCTTCTCAACTTTATCTTTCTTAGTCAAGTTTTATTTAAAGAAGCAGCCTGGTCACCTCTCAGAATCCAGCTGTGGTCTCACTGCTCTCAGTGAGGCAGACTCCGCCTCTCCACGCTCTCCACTTATAAACACAGACATTTTTTTTTTTTCCTATCCCGAGTTGCTTAAACACAGCTGTGTTGAAGCGCCCTCTCTGCTGCCGGGCCTCTCAAATGAACCTGACTCTTATGTAACTTGAGCATTTTGATGCCCTGCTCCTCCCCGACTGTCTGAGAGGAGGCGCAGCACAATCCCAGAGACCCCGTTGTGCCTCAAGGTAGCTATCAAACTAACGGACAATCATTCATTACCCAACAGGGAAAAGTCCGATACGACAATTCCATCTCCCAGAGAAACGAGGAAACAGACGTATCCATTAAAATTAAAAGACAGCTTGCTGCTCGCTTTTGAAGTGCCAGTTTAAATTTCATTCATTCCTCCACCCTCCATTTAAGCCGTCACTCTCAAGCCTGAACATAACCATCCTTCTAAATGGTTATGTCTCCCCCCACCATGCAACACTTCAGGCTAATTTGTTTCTCTCCATCAGCAACTGCGGCTTTTATCACAGGCAATCATCATCATCTATCAGACCAACTTCGCCGCGCCTCCCACCCACGCTCAGCTTCTGTTAAGCGAAACAAAACCCTAATTAGGGGCGAATTTGCCGACCTGCGGCGCCGCAACCAACGAGGTAGACTGGAGATGCTCATTGCCTCTGAGAACAGAGTTGTCTTCCCATCATGCATTTGGTGGCGTGAACCATGCGGAAAGTGAAGGAGAGTGACCCCTGCAGGGGAAGGGGCGTTGTGCACTGCAGAGAGAGAAGGGCACTGTTAGGAGAAACACGCGGATGTTGAAAGGAGGGAGGAGAGGAGGGAGGAAGAGGAAGGAGACGCTGCATCCAGGATACCTTCTGGGCGCCTGAGAAGGCGTGGTAGAAGCTAGACACGTAGGTCATGATGGCCTTCTCGTCCGGACGGGCAGTGCCCACGATGTCTGCGGGGAAGAGAGGAGGTCAGGGAGGGGACGGAGGGTGGAGGTGAGGTTGTTAAACAGAGCACAGAATGATGAAGGAACAGGAAGTAGAGCTGGGGTTCAGCTCTTCACATGGACAACATCCAGAGTGGAAAGAAAAACATGTGGTGTCACTGTCCAGATGTGCTGAACAGGGAGGATTTGATTTAAACATCTGTCTTAAAAACAGCAACACACACAGATTTTACACGTCTACAGGTGCAGAAATAAATAAACAGAAACCATATCTGAAGATGTCTAACGTATTTGTAGAGCGTAGAGCATATTTCACATTCAATAGAAAAGAGGATCCGTAACTCCTTTGTGCACAGCTGCGTGTGTCAGTGTTATGGCCAAAATAAATTCTCTCAGAGACATTGGTCCCTAGAGATCAATAACCCGGCTGCAAAAAACAGGAGATGGAAAAGGACGAGTCCATCTCGCTGTTCAGAACTTCACCCGGATTTTGGTCCTTTTTGGTTCTCCTCTTGTCTCTTTTCTAAAAGCGCTTTGACTCTCAACTCTGCCAGCACAGAGGCAACTGGATGCGATTCAGCAGTATCCTTGTAAAGGAATGTGAAGAAAACAGTTTGAGTTTTTCACACCTCTGCAGACCCGGTTAATCGCTGTCGGATTGTAGGTCTTCAGGAAGTTATAAAAACAGGGGTGGTGCAGACGCCGTTTATGTCACTTCCAGACTTCCGAGAGAGAATATTTTGGTCTTTGAACACAGGAAAAAGTCGGTCCTCCTCATCATCATTTCACTATTTTCCTCCCCGCCTGCTCACCTTCTGCGTCCAACATCTTGGGGATGTCCAGGTACTTCTCTGCCACGTCGAAGGCTGTGTTCAGGTTGGTCATGGGGTCGTCCTAACAGCAGCAGACACAGCAGACCATCAAGACCTTTACAATTACTTCTAACAATCACTACTTAAAAAAACGCCAGGATATGTGCATCTACAATGTAAAAACATCGATGATAAACTAATGCTTCATGTGCTTTGATCATGAGAATTTAATTTGTCTCGTCTCCTTTCACTCGGTGCTTATGTCTATTTTGCATAGAAACATTTGAAATATGGTGAACTTTAATGTTTGAGGTTCATGTTCTCAGTGGCTTCTCTTGTCACATTAATGTCAGACAACACTCGCTCACCTTGCGCAGTTTTCCATAGTCAATGAGCTCCGGACGGTGTCGATGAATGAGTGCACAGAAACCCAAACCATCTTTCCAGCTGAAACAGAGAGAAGTAGTTGAGATGAGGGTGAAAGTGAGGTGAAACATAACAAGCTGAAGAAAAAAAAAAAAACTGGAATTTGACTGTAATCTTTGATGGAGACCATTCCCCTCCATCGGACTCCCTAATTAGTTTCATGTAACACACCCTCATGCTCCCAGCAGCGCGGTGCGTTACTGTAACGCAGCAGAAACCCGACCACACAGGGAGGATACATTATCTAATGTACTACATGGTCCAAGTCTCCAATTAAAGCTGAACCACAGCTTCTGAAGTTTGAGATCCTACATGACGTTATTTTAGGAGAGACACTTTCCCAACTCCATAGATTTATTTATTATATTTTAAGAAAAACTACCATTATAAGACATACTATGAGCTTTAGATTAATTAAGATTTCATTCTAATGTCGGATAAGGCAAAGTGTGTTGGAACAAAATCATTGGAAAGTATCCGATGTCATGTGCCTCTCTGAAGAAAACAGAAAGTGGAGACCCATCGAATGACTTTCAAGGACACAATTGTTAATAGCAGTCATTATATTTAGCATCAGAGGGACAGATTCTGGAACAAGTTCAGAGAAAAATAAATCCGTGCTCGGTTACTTTTATACACTGAACAGACACGGCACTTTTGGTTCTGCTTTACTTGACTTTTCCAGAATAATTTTCTTGGCAAGTGGTCTCACTTTGACTTAAAGATGAAGTTTTACAGAATGCTGCAGCTGCAGCATTTTCATCAAGCCTTTCAGGTTTATTCATTTATTTCCCTGGTTTATTTATAATGTTTTTACCATGTCTATGTTAGACATGAATGCTTTCATTCGCTATCATTAGTTCCATTTTGCCAAAAGTGCTTTTTTTTTGGCCACAACACCGATAACCAAAGCTTATAAAGTTGATATGACAAAACAAATAGCTGCCTCACAGAGCAGCATTAGCATCCCATTAGCGTTATATTTCACTCTTGTTTAAGCTGTGTTTCGGCCTCTACCAATTCCTGAGGGAACTAGCTGCCTAAATCTGTCCGTTTGGTGCTAGCAGGTAGTGTTCAGTGAAGCATTTGTGCTCATGCTGTCCTCGATTAAAGAAATTCCTATACGCGACTAACACTCAAACGATTTTGTCATTGAATTGATTAGTTGATTTAATCGACAAACTGAGTTTCTCCACAAGGAATCACACAAAAGCCCCATTGTGAGCGGTGAGACTGAACCCAAACACTGTAGATTTGCACCATCAAACCAAAAGAGCTAAACTAGTTTGAGTTAAGAGGAACTGCAGAGTCGGGTGACAACTTTCACGTCACACACGGTGATTTAATCTATTGTTAATATAAAAACTGTTGTTCGAGCAGCTTTAAGATTTCCATCTGCGGACATGCAGGTTAAAAAGATGCACTGACACAATAAATAAAAGTACTTAAAAGTGCAAATCTGCTAAATTGCTATAGTTGAATCACATCTTCGTCCTGTAATCAATGAGCATGTGTTCACTTAGCCGGAAGACATATTTTTAGTTTGGCCCTCTGAGGTTCATTGAACGTATGATGGGATGGTGCAGTGCAATCTCACTAGAAGACTTCTGGATGATTTACTGCTGCTCTCTGCTCGCAGGGTAACAAATTAGCGAGATGAGTTTGATATAATTTCAAACACATTGGTTGATTACTGGCACATCCTCTCCCTCTCTGTCGGTCTGGTTTATGAGAGCATGTCAGCTGGTCTGTTCTCTGTTAAATCTGTCTGCTTTTAGTTCTCATCTGTTCAGCATCAGCACCATCTGAGGCGATAACCACTTCTGATATTTTTATGTGATCCTGGTGTGCTTAAAATATATTTCTTATAACAATGTTATTGAATTTACAAAGCAGTGTCCTGAAGAGATAGTTGCAGTATTCATACTCCAAACCTAAATACTACTGCAGTGCTGAGAGAGCGCTCTTAGTGCCCCAGTGGAGAATAGTGGTCTTGAAGCACTGTCTTATTCAAGCTCTGTAGGCTCTCTTTTTAAGTCTCTTTTCTTTGGCTGGATGAAAACAAACCATTTAAACTCAGGTGACACCAAATAATTGCAGCAAGATGCTAGAAAATGCAGGTTCTGGAATACAAACAAAACCAGACGGTAAAAATGTTTCATTGAATTTACACAGATTTCACAAAACTCCACATACAGATGGGAGAAGCGCTGAGTTGATCAAATTGTTAAAATACTCATCCGAGTCCACTATATAAGAAGTGAACGTGGTCACTGTGACGTCACCTATCGGTTTGTGGACTAAGGTCTTAAAACCTTGGGTTTGGCATTTTCGTCGTCGCCATCTTGTTTTTTGACACGAGAGGGTGGAGCCATGTACAGATCGTTAAATAAGACTTTTAGGCGCCCGAAAGGTTACAACTAACTTTCATGAACTGAAAACACGCTGTGAAAAAGTTAAAGTTCTGAGACAAAAACACGGGCAACTCCTAGACCCGACAACGCTGTAGTAGCGACCTGTCAATCACAAGGTAGCCCCGCCCTAAAACATACTCTGCTTTATGCTCTATTTTACTCTAAATAGGAACATAATTTACTAAATGAACATCATGCTGTATTGAAGAAGACTTGGCACTAGAGATTGAGACCATAAACCCATGTTTACAATGTTTACTGAGGGAATAAATAAAATGAGAAGTAGAGTCATTTCCCCCCCGACGGCCATTAGAGAGAATGCAAGTTTAAAACATTGGCTTCATTTTCAGACCCGGAGGTTGCCGCCTGGTTATTACTGTGTTATTACTCGCTACTGCTTTACAAGCAGATTTTCTGACTGACTTTCTATTTATTTTTTTTTTTTACACACTATGTCGGTGTATTTTAATGGCAACAATGACCTGAGGACAAACCACAGTCGGCTCTCATTCAACTCTTTCCTCGTGTCTTCTTCATGAACACTGCTGCAAAGATTGCGTGGGCAACGTCCTAACTCTGCTTAGCTTAAGTTACAGTATAACTGGATTTCAGCAAAATCTCTAAACTTGAAGGACGACAAGTAACCAAAAACTCTTGTGGACGGTTTACTTTTGTTTACAAGCCCTGGCTCGGATACAATTTGGCAGTGTTAATCTTTTAAGAGCCAAATAAAAAAAATTAACCAAAGTGAAGAACCAAATTTACACCAAACCTGTCTTTAGGTGAGATGATAGCACCACTGCTCTTTCACATTATTTCGGCCTAATTTCCTCTGCTTGACGCCGAGACTCTGCGTCATCTGATTTCCTGTAACTACATCTCGGTATTTGAGTAAAACACCTTTTTTTTTTATGTTTCTTACGGTGTGTTCCTCACCTGATGTGAAAGTTTTGGATGTTGACATTCTTGTAGGGCGCAGTCTTCCTCTGGCACCACAACAGGAGGCCCTCTTTGGCAGATGTCTCTGCGGTCGGGGAGAAGGGATCATTGTGAAGTTCAAGAAACTCTCAGGCTTTTACTTTGTCCAACTCTCGACTAATCCCCGTTTAGTGGTGGATTAAGTAGAGGTGAGGTGAATGGGAATCATGTGCGATTGCTCGGGTGTTTCGGGCTCTCTTGTTTCCAGTGGATACCGAGACGTGTCTGGTTTATTGTGTCATCCCAAAACAGTTAAATTAAATACTTTAAAACACGCTGCCCTGGAATCTAAAGATGAACAAAATCAATGCTGACCACTTCTGACATTTAAATTGGATTACATTTTAAGTGCATTATATATGGTAACCAAGGAGAGGACCATAACATGAACGTGTCCGCCTCCATAGGGAAAGAGCAGTCTCTGACTCATTCATATTCTAACACATGCATTAGCTCGTCCAGTCTATAAGTGGTATTGTGCAGTTTTGTTTTTTTTAAAGCTCGGTGAGATGCCTGACAAAGGTCTTTACCCTGAGACACTGTGTCAATGAAGTGTTTTCAATAGCAAATTAAGACAGCGAGCAGTTCTTTTCAATAAAGTGAATGAACAAGAAGCGTGTGGAAATGCGCGCGCGCACACACACACACACACACACACACACACACACACACACACACACAC